TACCTACTTATTACTGTAGCTCTAGACTAAAACCAACCCATTCATCCTTTATAACTTCGATAGCAATGACTCATTTCTATTCGAATTCCTAAGAGTTCTAGTTCTTATTTTTCTTTTCTTCATAAAACAAAATAATTCGATTTAGTTACTTACTGATCATACGGAAAAAAATGTCCTTTGTAGATAGGTATTCTATCCATATTTCTCACCACGACATCCAGATTTGTTACCTAATACGCCTATATTATCTGAGTGCTTAAGTAGGTACATAATTTGTTAACACACCAGGTGTTTAATTATGTTAATGGAAAGCTAGATAATGCTTTGTTTGTATTATTAATATTTAACAGTTTTTCCATATATTTGTTAAAACGAATTTACCTCTAATTGGAAATATGTGTATTTGTGTTTCACTGAATTTTAAGTACGTCGTTAAAATTCTTTAAAAATGTGTAAGTGAATTACTTGATTGATGGGGATAATTGAAAGTATTTAAACAATTATCTAAACAGAAAAAATACGTTGTACAAGTCAAAATTAATTTCAAATTTAAAAAAGTGAAATCTAAAATGTATGCAAGGGAAGTTAATTGTCTTGAAATTGGACCCGTAATAAATTAAAGTAATTTATTGACTATTTAAATTCCCCCTAGTACGAATGCTAAATCACCTTGGTTTTGATTTTTCATTCATTTCAGTTAGGTAATAAGTAAATATAAAAATAAAAAAAAAAAGTTGGTTCGTTGTGAGCAAATAATATATGTAGACTCAAAATTACGATATTTTTATTTTGCAATGTTGTTTTTAAGTCTACATCAATTTGTGAGTGTTACAGATTACGTTACTTATGAATCATAGCTAATAGGTTTAGTGTAATTACAAATTTATCTATTTAATTGCTGTCAACCCATCATCTAAGCTTAGCAGTTGAGAAAATACCGGGGATGTTTGCTAAATCGATACACTGTGTTTACTGTATACATTTGTATCCTTGAGATATGTACATATGTATTCTTAATAAATCACCATATTTGGATAATCCATTCATGTTACTCATTCAAACAAGGATGCAAGCAAATCGTTTATAGTTCATGACGATGATGACAGTGACTCAGAAATAACGCGCAAATATTGTAATTAATGCCTATAATTCAGACTACTGCGATTTTAATTTTGAAAATTTGGTAAATAGTTTTTTCGGGCATGCCCTTCTTAACTAAAATAATGGCGCCCACCTAACACTTCCGGTTATACCGGAAGTTGACGTAAAAACCGAGTAAAGTGAGAAGCGAATTTGTAAGCGAATACGAATATTAATTATTTTCAAAAATTTAATTAATTTGCTCGAAGTGACCGCCATCTACTTGTAAACAGTTATGTATCCTTCTTGTTACCCCATCTGTAACAGCTCCGGATATTTAGGCAGCAGGTAAAGTTTCAAAGGCATCTCTTATACGAGCAACTAGGTTTTCTTTCGTGACATGTGGATTTTCTGATGCCCAAAAGTGTCTATTGTGTCTATTAAATATACCTTCGTTACTAAATTTTGACTCATTTGTGCAAATGATTTTGCGTAAAAACTCTGAATCTTCTTGTGTTCGCGTAAAAATAATTTCACAGAATTGGGTTCGTCTTTCAGCGTGATGTGCAGGTACAAAATTGAATCTAAATGGATGCTGACCATTAGTTTTCAAAAATCTTTTGGATGGAGGTTTTTGAAATGCCCAAATCCTGTTCAGCAGCACGAACTGATGATTCAGGGTAAGTATGAAAATATGCCAAAACATTGACGATGTTCCCTTCATCTAAAGTTACCGACTTTGGCAAAATTCTATGTGCAGAAATTCGACCATGTTCTAATTGATTTTTGAAAATTCTTCGTAAAATGTGTCTACTCATTGGTGGTATATGAGGATATCTCTCATTAAATACCCTGAAAGACCTATTTATTATCCTGTGACACTCTCGATGAATAAATAATAAATTTAAAATGTCAGCATTTGAATAAATGTTAACGTTTTCCATTCTTTAACAATAAATAATACTCAAATAAACATTCAGTGTGTGTTAAATTGACAACAATAAACTGGTGACAGATTAGGTGGTTGATTTGAAGTTCCACTAAAAATTTCACAGAGATTTAAGATGGTTTAAAGTTGACTAAATTCGGCATTAAATTTCTACCACCTTGTATGAAGTTAAGTCATGTGAAATTATGACAGGGAAGCTTAGAGTTTTAGTTATGTCCCCTATAAATTTTATCGCTCTAACATTATTATTGTAAAATACACATCTTTTTGAATTAAGGTAACTTGAAGAATAGGAAACCTTTATTAAAGTTCACCTAAAAATTAACGTAGAATCCAAAATTGCAATAATAAATTGGATGTTCCATTTAAAATAACGAAGGTGACGTCAGCTTCCGGTATAACCGGACGCGTTAGGTGGACGCCATTATTTTAGTTGAGACGGGTATGCCCGAAAACACTATTGACCCATTTTTCAAAATTCAAATCGAGGTAGTCTTTATCTAATGTCTAGTGAGATATCCTGTATTTGGCCTATTTATCTTTTATTTATTTATTTTATTTATTTCCCTACATATCCAACAGGCAAATGCCCAGTTACACGATAGAAAACCAATGTAATAATACAACACACAACGCATTCGAAAATATAATGTCAATAAATAGAATTAATGATAATAATTGAACATGGCAATATATTAGCACAAAATATAGTAGACATAATATAATATACATACATATACACACAGAAAAATATATATTAGACCAGCAAAACTATAGTAGATATAAAATAAATAAATACATATGCACACACACATACACTTATACATATAGATAGATACGAATCAATAAAATAAACTTCTGCAAAAAATTAAGGGAGCAAAAAAATTTTTCGAATATTTAGTGATTTTTCAGAATGCTGTATCTCAGTTAAAAATGATCGTGTCAAGGTTTTAAAAAAAGCATTTTAAAGCGCCGAGTGTCTAGTTTCCAGATTTCTTACCTCAAAATTTTTAGGAGCGACAGTCATCGCGAAATTCTAAGAAATAAGACTAAAAAAATTTTTTTCAATTTTTTGCGTTTTTTTTCTCGGTCCACGGGCTTGGAAAATTTTTTACACAAAAATCATGATATGGACTTGATAGCCTGTTCATTCAGCTTTAATTTCTTTTTTTAAATTTTTCTCTACGTTAATTTGACGCGGAGATATTCGACTAAGAATACAAAAGCATCCTTTTGGCTTTAACCATCGATATCTCGGCAACTAATGATCAGACAGAAAATTGACGGGCAGTTTCGAAATCTCCAATAAAACGATTAAAAGTTTATACCCCCAAGATTGGTGTAGTCCTCGATATGCGAAAAAATAGTGCGTATTATCTTAAACTTTCTTACGAAGCTAACAAGTGTGAAAAAACAGGTTTTTTAAAAACTATCTTTGATTCAAAGGAACCAACCAACAGTTTTTCTCAAAACTAACAATATTTTTTGTAATTCTATTTTAATTTTTTTAATTTTTGTCATGCCTAGACGGCATTTATCATTTTTATTTTATATATCAACTTTTAATCAATTTTGTTAATTCAAAATAAGGGAAATTACGGTACGGAAAGAGTACATCGCTTCAAAAATGACTCAATATTTTTATCTTGAGTTGTTAAAAAATAAAAAAGAGTAAATTTTCAAAAAATGTTCAAAAATAATAAAAAAAAAATTTTCAAAAATTAATTTTTTTTTCAAATTCAATGAGAAAAAATGCACAATTGTGAAAGAATTGAAAAAAAATCAAATTTTTCATTTTTACGAACGTTACAGGGCGCTCAGAAATGTAAATTTGCCTCCTTTAAATTTTTCTGAAAATTTGATTAAGCGGTCCGGAAAAACCGTTCGATAGATCGATCTGCCTATTTACGGAGCTTTTGGGGGTACATCGAGGTGTAAAAATTGGTACAAGCATTAGACTCTGCATCGATATTAGCAAAGATGCGGTCGACTTAGCGAAACAAGTCACTTTTTTTCACTTTTTTCAAGTTAATGTCGAGGATGAAAGAAAATTTTTTTCTTCCAAGAACGCTATATAGTCTTGTAGGAAATTTATTCGAGATTTCGAAACTGCCCGTCAATTTTCTGTCTGATCATTAGTTGCTGAGATATTGATGGTTAAAGCCAAAAGGATACTTTTGTATTCGTAGTCGAATATCTCCGGGTCAAATTAACGTAAAGAAAAATTAAAAAAAAAGAAATTAAAGCTGAATGAACAGGTATCAAGTCCATATCATGATTTTTGTGTAAAAAATTTTTCCAAGCCCGTGGACCGAGGAAAAAACGCAAAAAATTGAAAAAAAATTTTGTTAGTCTTATTTCTTAGAATTTCGCGATTACTGTCGCTCCTAAAAATTTCGAGCAAAGAAATCTGGAAACTAGACATTCGGCGCTTTAAAATGCTTTTTTTAAAACCTTGACACGATCATTTTTAACTGAGATACAGCATTCTGAAAAATCACTAAATATTCGAAAAATTTTTTTGCTCCCTTAATTTTTTGCAGAAGTTTAGTAAAAACAAAAATAAACTATTACAACTATAAATTAACAGTAACGAATGCGCTTTTTAATTTCATTAATAGTGCAAAAAAATATATCTAACCTGTCCTCAACATTGCAATAGTTGACAGTCATCTGATATAAAGGAGATGCTTTCGTAACGTTAGTTCTTACAGTGGGGAACTTAAATATATTATTTTCACGAGAAGAAAGCCTAGGAACTTTGATCTGAATTTTGTTCAGTAACCAGGTGCAATCAATTAAGTTGTTCAGTATTTTACGTAAAAAGACAATTTGATGTGTAATTCTACGTGTTTTTAAATCTTAAAAAATAGTTAATACAGTCTTAAATAATAGTTAATACAGAGTGTCTTAGTATATTGCACCATTATAATTTCAGCACTACAATATTCTCCTTTATTGATTATTTCAGGCCCAGGCCCTTCAAAAGGCGATAAACAGCCACGAGACCCCAGTCAAGCAGAAGCATGTCCGTTCAGCGATCATCGGCACTTTCCACACCCAGAGTGCCAAAACGTTCTGGGCTTATGCCTTACGTTTACCCGCCATGGACGACAGGATAGTGGCATGGAAGTTGTGTCACGTCGTACACAAAATACTCAGGGAAGGTCACCCCTTGTGTCTGGTCGACAGCCAGAGGCATAGGAAGGATCTGGACGAGATCGGGAAGCTGTGGGGTCACCTGAAGGAAGGTTACGGGAAGATGATAAGACTGTACACTTCGCTGTTGATAAATAAACTGGAGTTTCACAGGAGGAATCCCAGGTTTCCCGGACACCTGGGTGTCACTGCGGAAGAACTGGAAAGCATCGCGGGCAACGACATTAACAATTAGTAAGTGCCTTTGTTTTTGATATAATTGTTTTCTATGTTGTATGAAGTTATTCATTTTAGGCGTAGTTTTCGTTTTTTTTTTCTTAATTTGTTGGGTATTTTTTAAAATTTAGAAAAATTAATGAAATAAACCCTTGTGTTTAAAAGATATCAAGGGTTTGTAGTCAACAAGGATCCACGTTTACTCAGTAACTCACTTATACTCATATATTTCAATGGGTTCAGCCAAAATTTTGGAAAAGAGGTGACTATTTTGTTGAACGGTGAAATATGTGTTTCAAATTACTCTGAGAACTTGAATCCTTGGAAATTATTAATCTCTGTGTAATGTTTTAATATCTAAAGTTTTAAGTAGTATCCTATAATAAAAGATTTTCTGTTAAATATCTGGTTCAAAACTAATACTACAGAATTTTGCCCAGCTTCAAAAGAGTAATATATAAATAGTAGGGTGGCCCAAAAAAAACGATAATTTTTTTTTCTTGTCTTGTGATAATATGTTAGTTTATCATTTTTTTAAGAGCCCCCTCAAAAAATCAGCTCAAAAAAAAATTTTTAGAGGTCGCTCAAGATTTTTAAAAATAAAAAATTATTTTTTTTCTCGTTATTTTATCATTTTCTACGTTGAAAAAAATCTCGATTCTGAATATTTCAAATCGATATTTTAATTTCTAAAGGTCACTCATAATTATTTTAACTTTTCAACATAGAAAATGATAAAATAACGAGAAAAAAAATAAAAAAAATTTAATTTTTGACAATTTTGGAAATTTTAAAAAATCTAGAGAGACCTCTAAACAAATTTTTTTGAGCAGATTTTTTGAGGGGGCTCTTAAAACGTGATAAACTAACATATTTTCACAAGAGACACGAAAAAAAATCGTTTTTTTTTTTATCACCCTAATAAACAGTTATGTAATAGTAATAAATATTAAAAAAATAAACACAAATTTGATTTAGATCTGAAAGAACATATCACTTTTTGTACTAGGAAGCATTTAGACTTCATTAAAATTTGTGTATATTTTTTTAATGTTTATATGATAAATCTCCAGAAAATTCCAACAAAAAATTTGCTTTAAAATAGGGTCGTTTCCAAATTTTTCCATTTTTTATTTAAAATGTATTATTTTTGCATTGACATATCATTGCAATTAAATTTAGTATGCTATAGATTTACACTTAAGCAATTAGCCTTTATTATTGGCCTTTGTTGTCAGATTTACCAATGTAATGTTATGAAACTTCCTAATACTCCTTCTAGGGGGTGGAAAATAAAATATTGAAAATAACCCCAGGAATCGATAAAGAAATCAATTTTAAGCAATAAATTCTTATGAACATTTACAATAAGTCAATATTTTATTGGTGATTGAAAATGTACATTTTTTATTTAAAGAAAGACGTTTTTCAGTAGTTTTTTCTCGAATAACTCTGAAAACAGACATTCTATGAAAAAAAAACATCACGAAAAAAGTGAAGCTTATAGAAAAAGAAAAACAGAGTTTTTTTCATTTATGTAGATGCAATAGGTGCTGAGATACGGCTGGTTGAAGATAATTTCATGTCTGCCAGAAACTAAATTGGCATTTAATGTAAAATAACTAAAAAAATTATATTTTTCAAGAAAAATGCACAGAACATTTTTTTAAGTATTTAAAAAATCTTTAAAATTTGCTTGACTTTGTCATTAACATAAAAATTAACAGTTATGATCAAAATAAAACTGTTAATTCACTTTTTGGAAAAAAAATCAGTACAAAAACTGATGAATTTTTCAGGAGATTTAAAATTAAAGGTAATCCTTCTACAATTTACATTTTTTCTGTGCTAACAATATATTATACAAGTTTAAGATCGAAAAAAATTTCGAAACATTTTTTTTCATGATATTCGTTAAGACTGCGCGATACGTGTTACTTGAAAAATTTTTTTTGCAAGATCCAAAAATTAGAAACTTCAAGCTTCAAATTGCTTTTTTTTACTCCAATACGACCATTTTTATCAAAGATACAGCCATTTGAAAAATCGCCGAAAATTTAGATTTTTTTTATTCCTTAATTTTTTCCAATAGTGTAGTACTCGAGTGTTATTTTTATTAATGGTTAGAATAATCATGACTTGGTCGATAATACTATTGATGTACGGTGAAAGTAGACAAAATGCCAGGGCTGCAGATGACATAATTCTCTATAGACTGCAATTCTGAATATGCTCTCACTTTTTGTTTGTTATAAACACCTGAGGGTTGCTCTCGCTGTACAGCAAGAATAAAACGCTCTCTCAACGGTAATAATAAAGTATTTTATTGAAAACTAAGAAAAGGACGTGGTGTCGGTTCGATTGTTTGCTGGAGAGTCCCCTGTCTGTGGAGGTATATGGGTACGCATCTGGCCGCCGGCGCCAGTAAGTAGTCCGCCGTAGACCCTTCCTGGAACGCTGATACGTCCGGCGGCGTCCTGCTGACGCTCTACACGTACTGCTTAAAAATTACACACCTTCCATTTTAAACATTTTCATTGAATTTCAATCACGGAAACGACTCTATTTTACAGTAAATGGATTAGAGAAAAGTCTAATTTTTTTTTAAATGTCTGCACCAATAAATTTCTTCAACATTGTTTAATTCCGATTGACTTTTCAAGCTTCGAAATGACAGTGGAGATGTTCGACTACCTCGACCACATCCTGGACTTACAAGAAGCAGGTAAAACAATGTAATAACCTTACCGTCAGATAATATCACTTGTAACCATACTGAAATTTGCAGTGTTTGGTTCACTTAATATGGCACGATCGAATTCCATGACTAACGCAGGGCAGTGTCGACTGGCCCCCTTAATACCCTGCATACAAGATGCATCGAAATTGTATGATTATTGTGTAAAAATTATGTTTAAGTTACACATGACCTTACCTCCGGATATTTTAGCAGGGCACAGAGATCGGTTTCTCAAGCAATTCAAGGCGCTAAAGAAGTTTTATGAAAGTACGAGTAATCTGCATTATTTCAGAGATCTCATCGCTATTCCCCCTTTACCAGAGGTAAGAATTTGTTAGTAAATCGTGTTTAAATTTTGGAAAAAAAGTATTTACTAATAAAAGGAGCACCACTATTTATTTGAGTTTTTTTTTGTTTAATGGTACAGTTAATAAGTGGTTGTAAATAGTAAAAATAACAACAATAATATAGAAAAAAATGTGAGAATGTTTAGAAGGTTCATATATTTTTTTTATTTTCCAAATTTTGAATTGGAACTTTAGAGTTTGAACCTGAAATTTCGAGCTTCAAACACAGTTTAAAACAAGAAATCGAGGTCAAACTTGAAATTTAGAGCATAAGTTAAGTTTGGTGCTTAAAGTCGAAATTTTCTGTTTTAAAACTAGAAATTTTGAATTCATACTTAAATTTTGTCATATTTCAAATTGAGAGTTCGAGTTTAAATGTGATTTTTTTTTGTACCTACATCGAATTTCATGTTTGAATCTAAATTTCGTGTTTTTTCATCAAACTTAAATTGAGTTTGGGTTCAAACTTGAAATTTTATGAATATATTTGGAAATGTCATGTTTTAAACTCGAAATTTCAAATTCAGACTAGAAATTTTGAATTAATACTTAAATTTTGTTAAACTTCAGATTTGAAATTTTATGTCCGTATTTAGACTAGGCGATATATGTTTTGGTTTAGGTGAATCGTATATCCACGGAGATTTTTGGCTTCTTGGCTTTCAAATATCACTAGAAATGAAATTTTTTCTATGCGCATAAAAAAAAACGTGGGCTTAACATTTGGCGGCACAATATGTTAAAAAATATCGAAAAATGTCATATTTTTGTTCCTATATAATTATGTATCTTTTCAAGAGTAGATTTTAGGCGAAAATAGAAGAGGAAAAAAATGTTTGTAATTAAATTTTTTACAAATATGACTAGTTACAAATGGAATGAATCATGATTATTAGTGTAAAAATCGAAAAAATCGCCAAAAATGAGGTTAAAAAACATTACGTGTTAGGGAATTTTTTTGGGGTCTTTAAATTGGGTATAGGACTTTTATACTTGGCTCAAGAAAACTTAATATTATGTAGAATCATCACACCAAATTTCATCAAAATCGATTCAATAGATTTTGCAATCCAGATTTTGCAAATTTTCAAAATTTTGCACAGCAAAAAACAAGACCCTTAGATACTTGAAAATTTAATCACATATAGAAGGGCTCTCAAGCTTTCAAGCTTTTTTTGAAAAATTCGAATCCGTCAATTAGGAGAGCTCTGGCGCTTGTTTAAACATTGGTCGAATTTTTGTACTTATAAACAATTAGAATAACTTTGTGAATATTCAATCAAATCAAATTTTTTAAAGCAGGTCATATTTTGTAAAAAAATTTAATTACAAACATTTTTTTCCTCTTCCATTTTTGCCTAAAATCAACTCTTGAAAAGATACATAATTAAATAGGAAGAAAAATATGACATTTTTCGAATTTTTTTAACATATTTTGCCGCCAAATGTTAAGCCCACGTTTTTTTTATGCGCATAGAAAAATTGTCATTTCTAGTGATATTTGAAAGCCAAAAAGCCAAAAATCTCTGTGGATATATGATTCACCCAAATATGAACTTTTGAAACAGATACCTTCTGAACTAATTCAAATTTTGTATTTAAACAAAATTTTCAATTTTAAACTAGCAATTTCAGATGTTTTGAGTTCAGATTAGAATAGGCCCATTCAGTAAAATTTTTTTATTGCATATTTCAAAAGTTTACCCTTTAATTACTTAATATGCCAAAAATCAATTTTTTGTTTCAACGAGAAATGTGTGAAATAAATTAATGAAAACAGAGCGCGGAAAAACGTTGAGCAACCATTGCTGACGTCATAATATCGGTACGGGCGACTAGCAGAACACTCCGCTCGCTCTCATCCCATTCTGTGTTAATACATACGGTGTGTGGTTCGCTTGGCAGTTTCCTTAATCATTGTTTTTATGTCTAAATGGGTCGAAACCGAGGATTGTACAAATATTGAATAGTTCTAGGCTGCAAAAGTACCTCAGGATCGACTCCGAATAAAATATTTATTTCATTACCGAAAAATGAAAAGTTTGTGTGATGTTATCCATGGTTTCTCCAGCCACGGTATGCAACTCAATACCACCTTCGTTTTTCTTTGGTTGCACGTCTAGGGGGTTGTAAAATATTATTATTTGAACATTTAGAAACAATTTTCAACTTTATGCCGGAAAAAAAATTCTACCCTATCTAAATCTTCGTGTTCACAAAAATTTCGAAATACGTCGGCGAGAGGGACCTATAAGCAACTCAGAACCACCCTCGTTTTTCTTTGGTTGCTCGTCTAAGGGGTTATAAATATTATTATTTAAACATTTAGAGCACAATTTTCAAATTTATGTTGAAAAAAAAAATTCTACCCCATCTAAACGTTCCCGTCCACAAAAATTTAGAAATACGTTGCGAGAGGCACCTATAAGCAATTTATTTAAATAATAATATTTTACAACCCCCTAGACGGGCAACCAAAGAAAAACAAGGGTGGTTCTGAGTTGCTCGCACATACACGTCGTCGCATACATCCACAAGTACCGAGTCTAGTACGTTGGATACATTTGTACACAAAATGGAAGGCAAAAGAAAATGTAGAAAAGCGAACCATTTACGTCATTGAGAAAAATCCCAAAATGTATTTAGATATTCCAAGACATTCTATGTTTATAATAAATATGTTTTGTGAAAAATGTATTTCAACAAGACTTGATGTATATCTCTTATACACTCTCTATTTATACACTTAAAAATACAGGTGTATAATATAGGTAAAAGTATAGCAAATATCTACACATCTCTCCGTCTGCTCGCGACTTGATCGCCGAGTGGCCGGTATTGTGACGTCGTTAGCTGTTCTCTCGCAGTGTTGACCTTTTTAAGGATCTTACATATTCAGAATTAAATATATCACTTATTATTAATCCTATTGACCTAATTTTTTTAAGATATAATTAGGTGGTTAAATACTATCAGAAAATGAAAGAAAAAGTTTAAAATTAAATATCACTGAATGGGCCTATTTAAGTGTGAACTCAAAATTTCATGTTGAAATTTCAAGATGAAAGTTGAAATTACTTCTTTTATACTTCAAATTTCAAATTCAAACTCAAAATTTTGATTTTAAACTTGAAATTTCAGGAAAATTAGTAAACAGAAAAAATAAAAAATTATAGCTATTCTATGCTTATTCATTATTTGTTCTATTTTATAAATATTATTTAATCAAAAGCCGGTCATAAAATTATTAGTTTTTAGAATTTATTTGCTTATCAGTATTGGAAAAATGAAAAAAGTTTATTATTTAACAAAATAAAAAAAATTAGAGTATATTAAATTTTGATACTCATTTTCCTGTGAAATAAATTCTTTAAGGAATAGGATGAAATATGTATTTTTTTAACTTTAAAACTAGCTTTATTGGTAGGGATTTTCAGCACTTTCTTTTACCTCCCTGAAATTTGACAGTATTTGACATTTCTGATTTTTGTTAATAAACGTTTAAATCCAGTTCAGTATGTGTATCAACCAAGTTTTAAAAACCTGTTCCAGAATCCGCCAAATTTTCTAATAATGGGCGATTTTAGAACTTATGTCACTCAAGAGGTCGTCGTGCCTCAGGAACCGGAACAAGACGAAGAGCCCATTAACGAAGGTAGTTTAATAGATACAACCGATGATTCTACGATAGAAAACCACAATCCTACAAACATTAGCCTCACTACGGCAGCTCATCAGGAAATCATCAACGAAAGGGAGTTTCTGAGGTCACAATGCGAGAAATTGAGGTTGGTTTGTAGTTTAAGACGTTTTTTCCCCCCCAGTAGCAAGACGATTACCATTTTTGACTTGTTTTCAATTTTTTTATCAAATCACTAATTTTCAATGAAAATTTATATTTAAACATTTGTATCATTGATTTTTTTAACATTTTGGTCAGGTGTTTCACCTGAAAATTTATCAGAAAAAACATCACGATACCTTTTTAATCATTCAAAGTTGTCATATTATTTTGACAAGTGTGGTTTATAATTTCTTTGTGAAGGCACGAAGTAAACGCTCTAATGGCGAAAAACGAAAGGGACGTGGTCAAATTACAAGACAAGATTAGTCACCTGGAGACTGACCTTGCCACCAAAGACAGCGAATTAGTTCAGGAAAGACAAGTCAAGGAGGACCTACTTAATCAGTCGTTTGCCGTTGCTCAATCGCAAGATTCCGAACGTAAGTCATTATACTTGCACTAATCGATGAAAATTTTTAATAGCAATCTTTCGCAGAAAAAGTTAAAAATGAAAAGTTCGACAAACTGAAGGACCTTTACGTAAAATTACGGGACGAGCATATACAGAAAATTAGGGAGGTGAGTGAGGATTATCGGGGACAGCGAGTATTGCTTATTTATGTTTTTGTTTGTGTAGAAAGCGGAAGTGGAGAAGAAGCTGGTTGGTGCCCTGAAAAGTTTAGAAAGGCTAAACGAAGTGGAGCAAGAGAGAGAAAGACTGGTTGTAGCGGAGAAACAGAAGAGCTCTGAACTCTCTAACTTGCAGAAAGATAAAGACTTATTTAATATGGAAACGGAGGTAAGAAACTTTGGGTTTGTATGGAAGAACGATATAACTTACGATTATGCTAGTTTTTGCAATGACTTTAATTTTGACTGAATAAGAATACGAAGTTATTTTGAGGTAATTGAAAAAAGAATAAATAGAAACTACAATATTTAGATAACAGGGAAATCCAAAATGATCTGATTCTGATTTTATCAAATCTTAATATAATGGAACTTATGTTGATTAGTTAGGTTAGGTTGGGTTACCTAACCTAATCTTTTCTAACCTAATTCTTGATAATAGTGGCTCAAATAATAGTCCAACCAAATTACAGGAGAAATTACAGTGGAGAAAAAAAATTGTTACCTGGACTTTTATAAGTGGAAATGGAAAAAAGGAAAAAGGACTTATAATAAACCTAAAGAAAATAAATGTGTGAGCAGGGGGGCGGAGGGTTGACTTTGGGGGATGAAAAGTTGTGAAAAATTGTATCAGTGGGATTTCTGGCGAAAGTTATGGATTGTACAAAAATCTACAACTTTTGCAGAGGTAATTTTTTAAGATAACCTCAAAATTTCCGAAAAAAATGCGAAAAACGGGCTTTTTCTGATTTTTCGATTTTTATTTCTCATTTGGGCAAAAATAATTAAATTTTCACGAAATTTGGTGAAAGTATACCTTTCTGTGTCTTAAATAACCACAAATTTTTTTAGATAAAAAATTCAAGAAGTTTCCGAGATATTAATTTTTTTCCAGTCTGAAACATTTTTTTTTAAAGAACAATTCTACTCAGAAAAATCATCGTACAGAGTTCTGCCGGTGATCATTTTTTTCGTTTTGACCTATACTTTTGACGAAATAAAAAAAATTTGTAATCACAGTTCAAAAACATGCTCAAAAATGCAATAAAATAAAAAATTACTTGGAATAATGAATTTTTCAATAATTGTTGATAATTTGTTTAAATTAAAAAAATTCAAAAACTGATTACACCATTCAATTCTACTGAAAAAAATACAAAAAAAAACTGTGTCTCATTGTTTGACCCAAAACTTTATTTTTGTACAGTATTGCTATAAACATCTAAATCGAATTACAAATGCACAAATGATAAATTATCTCTGGATGATTTGAGATTTCAGCAATACAAAGTATTAACTGCAAAGTCTACTGTTGACGCGAAACCCGAAAACCCGAAATTTTGCACAGTTTTTTTTCTGGCTTTATTTGAAAATAAATTTTAAAATAAATTGCATATTTACAATGCCACTTTTTTCGCTCTATACAATGGCGTCAACATTTTTGCAATCCGACGTTTCGTCTTCGAGGCGCCATCATCAGGTTAATTTTTTTAAATACGTCACTGCTATTTTTAAGAGAATAGTAATATCATCTATATCGGAATTAAAAATGACTAGATTTTGTCATAAAAATAGCAACAATGTATTTAAAAAAATTAACCTGATATGGCGTCTCAAAGACGAATAGTCGGATTGCAAAAATGTTGATGCCATTGGATAGTATGAAAAAAGTGGCACTGTAAATATGCAATTTATTTTAAAATTCGTTTTCAAATAAAGCCAGAAAAAAATAAACAATTTTGCAAAATTTCGTTTTTTTTTTTTTTTTTGATATCTCTGGAACTACCCAGAATTTTAAAACTTTCTAAACGGCATATTGTTAGGTATATCCCTAAGGCCACCCCCATATCTCTTACCGTTTCCTAGATCCTAATGCTATCTCATCCTTATCTTGGAAGTACACCAATCGATCCTACGGAAAAAAATTATTTATTTTATTATTTAATAACTTATGTTTATAGCAATACTATACAAAGTTTTGAGTCAAACAATGAAACAGTTTTTTTATTTTTTCCGTAAAATTGAATGGTGTAATCAGTTTTTGAATTTTTTTTAAATTTAAACAAATTGTTAACAATTACTGAAAAATTCTTTGTTGCAAGTAATTTTTTATTTTTTTTTGTATTTTTGAGCATGTTTTTGAATTGTGATTACAGATTTTTTTATTTCACCAAAAAGTATATGTCAAAACGTTAAAAATGATTACCGGTGGAACTCTGTACGATGATTATTCTAAGTAGAATTTGTCTTTGAAAAAAAGTGTTTCAGACCAGAAAAAATGAATATCTCAGAAACTTCTTGATTTTTTTATCTAAAAAAATTTGAGGTTATTTAAAACACAGAAAGGTATACTTTCACCAAGTTTCGTCAAAATTAAATTATTTTTGCGGAAATGAGAAATAAAAAACGAAAAATCTGAAGAAAACCTGTTTTTCGCATTTTTCTCAGAAATTTTGAGGTTATCTTAATAAGTGACGTCTACAAAAGTTGTAAATTTTTGCATGATCTACAACGTTTGTATTGGATACTTTTTTGTTTGACGTCAACTTTTGCCAGAAATTGGGATTTCTGGCAAGTTACAATTTTCCACAACTTTTCAACCCCCCAAATCAACCTTCCACCACCCCTATTTATTTTTTTTAAGTTTATTATTAGCCCTTTTACCATTTCCACTTATAAAAGTCCAGGTAACAATATTTTTTTTCTTCAAGTGTAATTTGGTTGGACTATAAGGCTGATGTAAACAATAAACCACGATAATAAGAGTATTATGGAAGCCACAGTAATACTTAATAAATTTTAGATTTCTTGGCAATATTGATTGTATTTTACACAAAAATGCCCAGTTTTTTTGGATAAATTGTGAACCACCTTGTTTATGTAGTCAGGGCCGGATTAAGGGGGGCATTTTTGCATTTTTTTTAATTTAGAATCAAACCAGAAAGTATTTTTTAGGTTTTGAAATTTTATATCGACAAATTGCTGCTATTTTTTTTTAAAGAAAAGGCTGTAGCCCCGAGCCTCATCATAGGTTAATCCGGCTCTGTATGTAGTCAGGTTTTAAGGTAATTGTATTACAGATTCTTAAAAAGAGCGTAGCCGATGCCTGCAGAGAAAGAGACTCTATTCAGATTGAGTTGATGAACATCGTGCAAGAAAAAGAAGAGCTGAAAAAAAGATCAGAGGAATTGTCGTATAAACTCCTAGACTTGGAACGACAACTTGACAACGGTACGTTTTTGTGTACTTTTTACATTTTTTTTTCAATTGTTTTTTATTTTCAGAACAAAAGGAAGTACAAAGACGCCTAAAAGAAATAGTATTAAGGTCCGTCGAGAACAGCGAAGACATCTTGAAACACGCCATTCACGAGGTCGACAACCCCGCCCTCACCGCTCTCATCTGCAGTCCCGATTACCTTAGGAGTCTGACGGACGGTTGTCTCGAATCGTTACAAGACAGCATGAAGATCACCAGCACGGATTACATTTTAATCATAACCACGGCTAGTAAAATAGCCCACAGGCACGCCACATACATTTTACAAGGAAGGGCCACCTGCAATACTAGTCCCGATATCACTTTCGGAGAAAGTCGGTAGTCCGTAAGGACAATCGGTAAAGTTTTCACACGTTTTTATTTTCAGAAATGGCGGAAGCTTGTAAAATTCTGGGGCAGGTCGTTTTGAAGCTGCTCTACTGTCTGAAGGAAAACCAAAGTACGGATGTTGCGGTGAAGGAAGCAACCGATAAGTTGGAGGAGGTCGCCTCGCTAGCCGATAGTATTAATATGTCTCTTCTCGGGGAGAAAGCCGAGACCTTGGCGGATTTGTTGGAGAGCGAGATGACGGCGATGGACAAGGCTATTGAGGAAGCTGCGAATCGTATACAGGTTAGGCGTTTACATTTTTTTGTACATATAAAATATTGTTATACAACCAGTCAAATTTAGGAATGGAAATACTAAATTTAAGAGAGCAAATTTCTTGAAATCCTGCCTTGTTTCGGTTTCCAACTGAGATGTCAGTGCTTGTCATAAGCGTACAAGTGGAAAAGATGCTCTATTACGATCACATTTTAGTTGTTTCAATAAATGTTGCTAAAAATGTAACAGTGCGGGGTGTTAGTGGCTAATCTGATAATCGGAGTAGTTTTAAACAACCAAACTTAACATATCAAGCATATTGTATGATAAACGATGTGTACAGGGTTCATTATAAAAGTAATGCGCATTTTCTGGGAAAAATAGATTTACTGATCGTACCGGTACAAATGCTTAAAATTCTTCAAAATACTCTCCCCCAGCATCAATACACTTGCGGAGACGTGTCTGCCATGCCTGGAAGGCACCCTCCTTAAATTCCTCGACGGGTGTTGCCCTTAGGAACGTTATAACATGCTTTTGTACGTTTTCCACGGACTCCCAATGCCTTCTCTCTTCAGTCATGGAAAGAAAAAAAAAAGTCACACGGAGGCAAGTCGGGTCTGTAAGAGGGCTGGGGGACCGCCGGGGTGTTGCTCCGGGCCAGGAAGTTGGTAACGTTGAAGGCCGTGTGGCTGGGGGCATTGTCATGGTGGAGTGTGACCGTGTTTTTGATGTCGGCCCTCACGCGCGCGACCTGGCGCATCTGGAATGTTTCGGTTGCATTCTTTCCCAACCGCACACAAAACTTGTGTGTGTGTGTGTGTGTGTATCAATGTTTAAGCGCTCCAGTAGATTGAATGAGACCATCAAGTTTGATTAAAGTTTTAACATTTTTCTGTAAAATGCTAAGATTTGTCTGCGCACTTTATTTATTTTTAATACATCATTAAACATAACCTAGAAAATGGGTCTTAACGGTTTTCAAGAAATTGTTAAGCTAGCAGTCCGACTACAACAGCCGGTTCTACATATAGCTTAATGCAATTTAATAGAACCGCATATCTAGAGGACATCAGTGATAGCATTGGAGACAGTGACAGTATTAGCGACAACAGTAATTAGTGATTTTACTGATCTTTATAATGGTTGTTTTTATGTCTTATCGGTGGCACATCTCATTTTTCAGTAATAAAGTATATGCAGGTGGTACTACATCATCTTTTTCCATAAAGAATTGCTGAATGCATACTTCTTCAGTATAAATAAAAAAGAATACCTATCCATTTGTTTTATATTTAACAATTTTCGGAACCCTCTGAAATGATACGCCCATGGAATTGCATTCCCTGCATGTCTTACCTTACACACTGATCTACATGTTTGAGAATGATGCCTACTATTTGGGCACTTGAGGATAGTATTTTCATTTCTATCTTAAATATAAACTATGCGTATTACGATAAGAAATTAAAATATTGTTCACTTTTGAACTATTTGGATAACATAAAAAGTGTGTCCCTTTATAAATAAACAAAAAAGTTTATTTGTAGGACATGCTTACAAATTCAAGGGCAGCCGACTCGGGTATAAAGTTGGAAGTCAACGAGAAAATCTTGGATTCTTGTACAACCCTGATGCAAGCAATAAGGCTGCTGGTACAGAAATCTCGATTTTTGCAGGCAGAAATTGTTGGTCAAGGCCGGGTAAGTGACATATTTTTAGATGTGTTTATTTACTGTTGATCTGATTAGCAAATATTCGAAACAAAACTCCCACTTGAAACAATTAGTTTTAGAAGAATGCATACATATTTCTTCAAAAAATATATTTTTAAATTACTGTTACCATTTTTTCCATTAATCAGTATATTTTATGTCTGAATATTCAGTCTATTACCAAATTTTGAATATCTTATGCTAGACAGCAAGTTACATACAGTAAATTTTTTAATTTTGATATGTACTCGTGTGATATCACATTCATCACACAAAATCACACTTTTCCAAAATAATCACATAAAGAGCTGTTTTGTACTTTTAACATTATTGACATCTTTGACAATCCTAGAAATTGTCAAATTATTCCATCTTTTGTTATTATTTGCGAGAATTTAAACGAGTTATGAAAATTCAAAATTTTCATAATTAGTTAGCAAAAAATGCTGATTTTATTTAATTAAATTTTGTCAAAATTAGCATAATAATGTAACATGTTAGGGAAAATGATTTTACTAATGATTTCACTAATTATGTAAATTCACGCTAAACCTAATTAGTTACATAAAGAGCTATTCTGTAATTTTGACGTAGTGACATACTTTGTAGTCAAAGCAAGTATCACAATGTTCTACTTCTCGTTAACATGATTATGAAAACTGGGAGTTATGGGAATTTGTTAGAATTAACAAATATTAAAAAGTAATACTAAAGGAAATATGATTTTGTGCAACTTGTGCAGTACCGTCTCGCTTTGTTTGTCCACAAATATCACACTTATACAAAATCACACTAGTTACACATAATCACACTCATACGAAAATCACACTCATTACATAAAATCACACTTTTCAAAATCACAATGTCGCAGTTTCATTTTTCCAACCGCAGTTAGTTACATATCATTCATTATATTCTAGGGTACGGCCAGTGCGAAAGAATTTTATAAAAGAAACCACCAGTGGACAGACGGTTTCATATCTGCCGCTAAGGCCGTCGCAGTCGCCGCAAAGTTCCTGCTGTAAGTACACCGCTGGTTATTCCATCCTGATTTACCCTTTTCTTTGCCGTAAAAACAAGATAGGTCGTTCCCTTCTAATTTCTAGGAGTGTTTAATTTTTTTTTAAATAGGACAGCCGCCGATAAAGTCGTCACATCGAACGGAAAACTGGAACAGCTGGTAGTCGCCGCTCAAGAGATAGCTGCTTCCACGGCTCAATTAGTCGTAGCCAGTAGAGTGAAGGCGGACAGGAATAGCAATAATTTGCAGCAACTCACTCAGGCCTCCAAGGGTGTTACCACGGCCACGGGAACCGTCGTCGCTACCGTAAAGGATTGCGGTCAGTTAATCGATGAAGCGGGTAAGACTATTTGAAGTATTCTGTTTAATTCAGGAAACTTTTCTGTAAAGTTTTCTGGGAATGTTACTTAGTTAAAGAAATTAGGTTGATATTTGTTGGCAAATTTGAAATTTTGAATTTAGTTCAGAAAATGTTCTCGTATAATTTTCTATAATTATTGTTTTGTTAAAAAAATGTTCTCGTAAAGCATTCTATAAGGAAATTACTAGACACTAAAAAGTTTTCTCAAAGCTTTAAAATTACGCCTCGGAAAGTTTTCAAAAATGGGAAATTCCAAATATCGAAAGTGGTATTGAAACTAGTTTTATCTATTTTGCAGAAGAACTAGACGTGTCTAATTTGACGCTTCATCAAGCCAAGAGACTCGAAATGGATTCACAGGTGCGGGTGTTGGAGTTAGAGAAAGAGCTCGAACAGGAACGGTACCGCCTTGCCAAGCTCCGTAGGCACCATTACCAGCTGGCCGGCGAGAGCGAGGCCTGAAGTCGTTTGAAGTTAAAGAGTAATTAATTACCTTGTCATATCTATTTATTAACACTAGATGTAAGTATTCCAAAGATAGGTAACTTGTTGAGTATGGATAATGACCTTGAGAGTTGTTAGTGTTATATACAGAGTAGTTTATATACATTCATTTTACCATAATATATTTTATATGTTCGTATTACTTCGATTTGTAATGTACCATTTACAAGCGACATATTTAAAACATTAAATTATTATACTAAAAGAAATTTGGCTTTTTTTTCCCCTGTTCTCGGCATTTTGCCTTGCCTGGATGAACCCAAAATTGTATATGATAATTTTTCATTAAAAGTGTAGCACAAACTTGTACCAATCTGTTTGAAACAAATGCATGAAAATTCCTGAAAACTGTCGAAAATTGAATTTGAGAATTAAAGGTGGCACCCTACATATTTCGACTTACTGAACACACTGGGACGTCCATGGTTCAAATCCGGCTCGAAGGACCAAAAAATGTTTTGAAATGGACTGTATTTTTGTTCTTTTTTGTTTATTACTGGTTCATTGGCATATGATTCTAATTGTCGGCACGGAAAATAACAGAATATGAAACAAGAAAAAGCGATGTGTGGTTTTCCTATCTTTAAATAGGCTTCTTACACTATTTCTTACAAATTGGCACTTAATCGCAGGCTGATACCGGCCGGTTTTGTAATGGAAACACCAGAGTTTTTTAATAGCGGAACAGAAGAGAGCGTATGGTTTCAAAGAGAGCCACCATTCAAGTCCTTTATTTGGAGCCGTCGCCAGTAGAGGCGTTGAAAACCACAAATAATATAGAAATTAGAGAATCTTATATATATAAAAAAAAACTAAATAAAATAAGCACACGAAACAGTTTCTATCTAAGCGCTTCCGTTGCAAAAGAAATGAAGAATCTCGAAAACCGGAAGGTGTAGAGCAAGGGTCGGCAACTGGCGGACCGCGGTCCAGGTCCGGACCGCGGAAGGTAAAATACTGGACCGCCAAAAATGGTTTGAAAGTATAAATTACTCAAATAAATTATTTAAAAAGTGTTTTTTTACGTTTGAGTGCCAACCTTATCATTTTTTCTAGTATTTTACAATTGTGTGAGTGTTTTGAGTACTTAATGGTTAGTAAACAGTAGATTAAATTTGAGTTTAAATGAAAATTTGTAAGAAATATGAATTTTTTTCTGGACCTCGCTAAAAATTTTTAAAAGTATCCGGACCCCACCTAAAATTACTTGCCGACCCCTGGTGTAGAGGAACTGACTTCAGTTTTAGATTCAAAAGGGCTCACATAGTCTACAGAATTTTTTTCAGATTTTTCTGAGCTCTAGAAGTTTCTAAGAAAAATCGATGTCCACGAAAATTTCTGATAATTGTGGAAAAATTAAATTTGTGTTTTGAGGGCAGAATTGGAGTTATTTTTGCCCGCTGAGGCGGTTAGTCTATCTAAGTGCTTCCGTTGCGGAAAATAATGAATATCAAAAACCAGAAGAGCTAACATCAGTTTTAGAATCTAGATAGTCACATACTGATTGTTTAGGGCAGCGGTTCTCAAACTTTTTTGGCGATGGAACCCTTTTGGAAAACGAAATATTTGACGGAGCTCTAAAACAATCAAAAACTGCGCAAACGCTCAAGTCGGTCAGTGTTATATGGACCACCGGTAATAAAGTTTGTTTTCTTTATCGCTAGGCCAGTGAACCACTTATGCTGTACGTTTTACCGCATATATGGCTCAGCCTAGTAAAGTAGGTGAGACATAGTAATTTCAAAAAAAAATCTGGAAAATTTTTTATAGCCTAATTCATGGTAACCCCTATTTTATAAGTAAAATAACAGCCTTATGACAATTTAAACACTGTCTATGATGAAAAGTAAAATAACTTTTTATTATAATACTAAAAGTAAAATGTACATTTATATACATGTATTTCATTTCTTGGAAAAAAAAAATGTGATAGTAACACTTATAATTAATTTTATTTATGTAACACGTTGAAGCACTCTAGGCAATAATGAGGCTGATCATAGCAATCAGCGCAGTACGTAGACACTTTCTTCACATTGTTCTTATGTATTTCACCATTTGCTTTTTTCTGGTAACATCTTTTGCAGTATTTTTGGGTTTTTATTTATTTATTTAAATTATTTGCCCAACAGTGAACCACCAATTACAGGACAAAGTATATAATATATTATTTAACATGTGAGCATACAGAACAAAATGTAAAGAATAAATACAACAAACATACCGATAAGATAGTGTAACAACAAATGAAAAAGAAAATAAGAAGAAAGAAAAAGAAAAGCTGCAACTACTACCTATGTTAACAATCATGAACTGCTGACACTTCTAAAAGCTGTGTACAGATGTTGCAAGCTACAGTTGAATATATCACAAGAGTTAGAGATTAAGTTATAATTGCGTGACATAAGAGAAACAGGAGACTTCAATCCCACATTGGTATTATAAGCAGAAGTATAAAAAGTAAGTGGAGAGCGGCAAGCCGACCTAACTGTTAAGAAATTCAATTGACTTAGAATCTCGGGACAGTCTACTTTATTGTTTTTTTGTTTTTTGAGTCGAGTTTGAAACGTGTTATTAGTATTTTATAATCGCATCCACGAGCAGGATATACGCCATCGGAGCGAAATGCGAGGTATTTTAAAAACTTTTTTTGCACCGAATCAATTAAACTGGCTTGGTTAATATAAAAAACAATCCAAGCTTGAGAACAGTATTCCAGTTTGGGACGGATAAACGCGTAAAATAATGAAAACAACACAACATTATCACTGAATTCACGACCTTGTCTAATCACAAAGCCCAGCGTACTAAGTGTTGAGGACACCAGATATTGAATATGATTTGAAAAGGTAAAGTTACTATCGAAATAAATTCCCAAATCTTTTATGGTATCTGTACGCTCTAAGACGGTTTTGTGAGAAGGACCTTCTTTTTTCTCTAAATGATGTTCACACTTTCTGAGTTGCTTTTTAGGAACATGATTTTCTTCTTCATTCAATTCCATATTGTCCTGTAGCTCTGGAAAAATCATTTTCTCGTACACACTTTCCCGAAACTCTGTTATTGTCGTATTAGTTTAATTGATTCTTTTATATGAATAGTGCGCATTGACCATAGAGGTACCGAAAAGAACTTCCATAACAACTTTTCGATACCATTTTGTAGACTTCCTTAGTGCCGAATTGGACGGACTGATCAGGACCGCTCTGGTTCGGTGATACAAATGTTGGTACTGGGCCGCAGCGGTCCCTTGGGACCGACGTCATATCTTCTACAATTTAGCTATAAAAACCAACTAAAACTAGTTCGTACCAAATTTTTTAACATTTCAACTCAAAATCACCCTAAAAAAACGAAAAAAAAAATTAGCCGGGTGAACAAATGTATCAAGAAGCTGTTCGCCGTTAACGTGTTAAGCTCCTGGGTGAAATGTCGCACACTCGCGCCTTTATATTACGTATTCCACTATTAATCTTTTATAAGATTTTTTTTAACTTTATGTTGGAATATGTAGATAGATTTTATTTTACTCTGCAACCTTTAGTATTTTTTTTCTATTATTTTTGTGGACCCCCACAGAGTCTGTGCGGATCCCTAAGGCTCCGCGGAGCACACTTTGAGTATGGCTGGTCTAGGGTGTTTTTTCGATGTACTCAGATCATTTTCCGTCATAAACGGACTTGGTAGAAACCAGAATTGCAAATCATGACGTACCAAGATTTTTTTGTTTCATAAACAAATAAAAATACTTCGTGACTCTTACTAAATTTATTACACTATATCTACATGATAGTCATGTATGGGAAAATACAATACTTCATCAGTAATATAAAATAGAATATAAATATCAGTTATATGACTAGTACACAGCTAAAATAAAGTGCCTATTAAAAATCACTGCAATTAATTGGATAAAAAGTACAGATTTCTCAGTATATGTATATCACTTGTAGTATTTTCCTAATGCAAAATTAACCCAAACAGCTCACATATCATGTCAATATGGGTTGATTTTTGCTTCGTTTCTTAGAAAAAGTACGTACAAAGTAAATAAAATAGTGTAGTGTATATTTTAGCATCACAAAAAGGTATTGATAGCTCCATCAGACGCTTATGTATGGCATGGAACTGAAATAATTTAACACCCTGTATCTCGGAAATAAAGCAAGAACTGACTGATTCCTGACCTGGTTACTTGTGATACAAACTCTGTTTATTGGAAAAAGGAAAATATCTACAAATGATGACATTTTTCTACAAGACAGACTGTTTGTAGGATGTGGACCGAATTCACAAATTGAGCTTAAGATGTTTGTACATAGTTTAAAGGTAGCGCAGGACTCTAAAGCAGGTATCCGTACTTTAAAAAATTAATTGCAGTTCAATCGTTAAGACAGATTGGTTATAAGTCAATAATCATTACAAGGGAAGATAAAAAATTAGCACCATTATATACATACACATACAAAAGATTCGATGTAGATGACTATTTCAATATGAAAATATGGCAAATCAATTCCAAAAATATTCTGCAAAGTTTTCTTTTAGAGCGCCTGATTCATTTTTTGGTCCATCAACTCGACCTAGATGGGGTATTTCTAACAACATCTCAGAAACAACACATAGAAAGTGAAATGTTTTGTTGCCACTCCCACCATTTTATTTTCACCATAGTTTTGATAAAGTCGACTTAGATTTTGCTATACAGGGATAATTCCTAAGTTGGCTGGTATTTTTTAAGTGCAACGGCAGGAAGAAACATGAAATCTTGTCGAAGACCTAAGAAGAATACTCAAGAAATTGTATACACTAAGTTGAATTGAACCAAAAAAAAAATTTGGACGAGACCATTCCAACAGTTTAGTTTTGAACTCATGATAGATTTTCAGTAAAGCTATTTATGATTTTTTTCAAAATCATTTTCCGGGTCTTCTAGATGATATGCCTCTGTTTCTTCTTAGAAGTTCCTTTCCATAATAAGCGAGTAGGACCTGGAGCCTGTTGCATGGCCAGCCAGGTGACCTGATCTTAACCCTTGTGACTTTTTTTTCTTTGAAAAAGGGCATTTTAATGAGCTTTAATGCTCTAAAAAACCACTTAGAAATCACCCTGTATAAGCTATGAAACACATCCATGGAGGCTCTAATAAATATTATTCATCGCCAGAAGGTGGCACATTACTTACTAAATTATGGTGACACACAATAGATGGCGCGATAAAATTCGCAATACAGTCACTTACCATCGCTAAAGCGTTTGCTCTCTTCGTTGGAATTTCTGAGATGCTGCGCTTACCCCGGTTACAATGAGACGAACACTACTCTTAAAATTCTGCTATAACTCTGATACTATTTAAAATACTTGTGCCAAACAAACTGCTAGCCAAATCTATTGGGAGAAATTGGCACAGTTCACTGGAAACGATGAGACGACACTTTCTAAAAACTACAAAAATCCTTTACACCTACTCCTAGCATGGTGATTATACTTACAATAGGAAAATAGTTAGAATTACAAAATATTTCTTCCGTATAAGTGTATATGAAAAAATCTTGGAATATGTATAATGGGAATGAATAGAAAATTTCAAATTAGTCTCGCTTCCAATCACTCAGTCGATAATACAATTTAATGAAACTGAAGGTTAACGCCTTGCGGGCTTCCTTGAAATTTTCGAAACGGATCGATTCGGACCAATGATTTAGCTTTCGCGGTGGTTTACTTTTGGATGTCTCGCATTCAATATTAATTCTTACGAGTTCAAATTTAATGGTTGTGAAAACCCCCTAACTTGTATTTTACTTCTTTAAGTGATTTATATAGAGTTTCCAGATACTATAAGCAAAAATTTAAGTTGCTTTTACTTAAAAAAAGAATCGTACTAAACTCTATGACACTTTGTGGAAAAATTAATATTAACTTTTTAATTTAATTTGATCCATATTATTGTTAACAAACTGTATGTTTGTAACGAACAATGGATTTTGCCGCATGACAGGCATTTTTCGTGAGCTATGAAGCAGTTCTGTCTAATAAGCGTATTTTCGTTGAGATTTCTTCACGTTTTCCAAGGTGTGATTCAAACTATTATAGATAGCTTTATAGAGAAAAAAATTAATTTAAGGATTCAAAATAATTTTTTTTGTGTGTGTGTACTTTACGTTTCTGATGAGCTATACACATTCAAACGTGTTTCGTGGAAGGATCTGTGACGCAGAGTTAATAAGCTCCACCTATAAACCTGTTTTCACCTGGAAGTCAATATTATATTAATTAAAATATGTTTATTAAATTTGCTAGTCAAAGTAGAACTGGGTTCGTATCACAGGCAAAACAATATTTTTTAATTTTTTTCTCCGTAACATCAGTAAGGCAGCAGAGAGAGCCACAATTAAATGGAATGTCAAGCGAGTCAACAAAGACATGCACGAGCTTCTGCCTCAGAATGCTTTTCATGTTCACGTCACATTAGTATACTGTTGCCTTTGTCATCGTGCGAATGTTTTGAATATTTCGTTATAAATTGTACTAATTTGTTGCTTATTTTCTACGTAATTTATTTTATTACGCTTAACATAATGAGTACGCCTATGGCGCGCGACTCGGTTCTGACAGCCCTACTTGTCTGGCCTTTTACTGAAAAATTGTATATTCACTAACCAGATGCCTCGTGAAGCGAGACACTAGCCTAAAGCGTAGCAAGCATCCTAATTTTCTAGTAACCTTTTTATTTGCTTCTTGAAAGTTATGGGTGATTTACCGAGAAGCTAACGGGCGACCAAGTTCCTGACCACGTCAATTGTTTGCCAAACTTCAATTATCTCGAAACATACTGTTTAAAGATGGTTCCCAAAATATTCGCACAACTGGGAGAAAAGTTTCTTTACAAAATTCCAAAATATTCACAAATAAAAATTATTCAACATAAAATGGATAAAAACCGAGCATGGGACATTTGAACTACTTTCTGCCAATCTCTGGGAAATACAAGAAACCTCTCATAATGTTAAAATTCAGGGTGGGCCAAATTCAACATTTTTGAAGGGTTTCTCCAATTTGTTAAACGATAGAATAAAGTATTTTATATGTTTAAAAACTCAAAAATTATATAAGGTGTTGTTTTATTTAAAAAAAGGCGTTATGTGAAAAATGTAGCCTACAGCACTGGGAGAAAAGCTTTTTTATGAAAATTGAAAATAGTCGCAAATAAAAATTATTTAACATAAAATGGATAAAAATCGAGCATAGGACATTTGAACTACTTTTTGCCTATCTCTTTGGAAATACAAGAAATCCCTCATAATGTTGAAATACAGAGTGGGACAAATTCGCCACTTTTGAAGGGGGTATTTTACATGTTTACAATCTCGATATTGATTTGTTTCTTATGATGTCCTATAAATATTTTGTTTATGAAAACATTACATTTTTGTAAGTAGGTTTTTTTATACAGTTTTTTAGCGTAGAATCTAGTGGTGCATGCAATATTATTGTATAACTTTTTTTATATAGGACAACACCCTATATATTTTATTCCAAATTTTTTTCAAAAATTATTCTTTTTATAAAATTATCAATTAATCAAAATTGAAAAAAGTCTAAAACAAATCAAGATGTGATTTTTGCCATTCAACTTTTCTCGAAAACCAAGCCTGTTACATTTAAACCACTTCAAACCCGATTATCTCGAAACATACTGTTTTAAGATAGTTCCCAAAATATTCGCACAACGCCTCGACTGATTACTTTCAAAATTTGACACAACAATACTATTATCATTTTATCAAGCGAGAAAGGTCGAAAATTAAGGTTGCAAAATGAATGGTAAATTCAATTAGCTGCCACCCGTGAAAACTATTTTTTTTTTTAAATCCTCTGTCGTGAAGGGCACCAATACATTACACTTTGAGAATTTTGTAACTTTTTTTGCCGAGCATGAGAGCAGCGCTCACAGTTGAAATGTTTTCATAAAGAAACTTGTCAGCATACCTCAACATGTATACTTTCGAATAAAACAAACTTGGATAAAATCGAACAGATAATTTTGATAAAATATTGGTAATACACTCTCGGTCACCTAAAAACAGTAAAAAATTAGTCGGCCGCTGACTGTCATGTGCACCCTCATCAAATGTCCTGAATTTGATAAAAAAAACCACCTCACTGGAAAAGAAGTTATGACATTTTAAAAATAATAAAAATTTAAAGGTTACCTACCCACATAACCCTTAAATTATATTTTTAATATTAGGTTTACGAAAGTGTCATGAGAACTTCAAATCACATCTAAAATGTTTTGCTCATAATTTTTAAACACCCTGTATAAAATTTTATAAAGTAAAACCGTCCACAATCGACCCATTTCAGAATTTCTCCCGAATGCCGCAAGACAACAACGAAACTCGCCAATTCAATGAATTGAAATGATTCCGTGTAAGACATGATACGTAACGTTAAAATCACAACGACTTAATACTACCACAAACAAGGTATCCAAAAAATCCCTTAAATTAACTTAACCTTAAGCGTCGCAGTTTCTCTCAACGGGCGCGCCGTTCTCCTTGTATATCCTGGGAAGGGAATAGTTCTCCGGAGGGGTGACTATGTCCGACGTAGCGTTCTCCCTACGCTTGGGCCGCTCTAAACTACTACCTAGATCTAAGCTCGAATTCAGACTGCCGGCAGCCAAGCTCAATTTCGGGGGGATGGGTGGGGGGTTCTCGATCTTGGGACTGTCTTCGTGGGGACTGTTGTTGATGTTCATCTCCGTCTGGTGGGCGCGGAGGTCGAATTCCTCGTAGCAAGTGTTGTTGAAGTTGTTCAAATGATTCTCCGTCATGCTTATGCCTGAGTCGCGCAGATCGTGGCTGTCGACTTGCGTCGTTAGATTGTTTGTAGATGTGGTGATGTTAACTTCGGAGGTAGAATCGTCCAGGGCGAGGTATTCCATGCTGCAGATGGAGGGGGTCGATTTCTTCTGACTCCGCTTCGGGATGTTCGGGGGAGTTTCGTTTGGAAGACTTTGGACTCTCTTGTCTGGGGCTGAAACAGATGAAATTGTTCAATAGATGAAGCAATGGTTATTCGGAAATGTATCTTGAATTTTCCAAGGATATAAATTATACGTACTGGCAGAGAGCAACCTACTAATCTGTAATCTATTCTAATGGCATACTGATGAGAACAAGTTCAAAACCAATAAGTGTTTGTGATTCTGCTGACGAATGATTTTGGTTGTTTTCTAGATATTGTCGTAAATTATTTACTTGTCGTTTTATTATTTTCTTTATATACACGCAGATTTTAAAAAATCAAAAATTATGTAAGGTGTTTGATTAGAAAAAAAAGGAGTAGAGTACACAACTGGGAGAAAAGTTTTTTTACAAAATTCCAAAATATTTACAAATAAAAATTATTCAACATAAAGTGGATAAAAACTGAGCATGGGACATTTGAACTACTTTCTGCCTATATCTTTGGGAAATACAAGAAACTTCTCATAATGTCGAAATTCAGGGTGGACCAAATTCGACATTTTTGAAGAATTTCTCCAATTTGTTAAACGATAGAAAAAAGTATTTTACATGTTTAAAAAATTAAGAATTATATAAGGTGTTTTATTTAAAAAAAAGGAGTTATGACAAAAATGTAGCCTACACCACTGGGAGAAAAGCTTTTTTATAAAAATTCAAAATATTCACAAATAAAAATAATTCAACATAAAATGGATAAAAACTGAGCATGGGACATTTGAACTACTTTCTGTCTATATCTTTGGGAAATACAAGAAACTTCTCAAAATGTCGAAATTCAGGGTGGAACAAATTCAACATTTTTGAAGGGTTTCTACAATTTGTTAGTTTGTTAGAAGATTGACAAAATTATTTTAAATGTTTAAAAAATCAAAAATTATATGTACAAGGCGTTTTATTTAAAAAAAGGAGTTATGAGAAAAATGTAGCCTATACCACTGGAAGAAAAGATTTTTTACAAAAATTTAAAATATTCACAAATAAAAATTATTCAACATAAAATGGATAAAACGAGCATGGGACATTTGAACTACTTCTTGCCTTATCTCTTTGGGGATACAAGAATCCTCTCACAATTTCGAAATACAGGGTGGGACAAATTCGGCACTTTTGAAGGGGGTTTTTTTACATGTTTAAAATCTTGATATTGATTTGTTTGTTATGATATCTAAAACTTTTTGGTTTATGAAAACATTACATTTTTGTAAGTAGGTTTTTTTATACAGTTTTTTAGCGTAGAATCTAGTGGTGCATGCAATATTATTGTATAACTTCTGTTTTTTCAGTTAGTACACATATATTTTTATATAAGACAACACCCTATACCTTTTATTTCAAATTTTTTTCAAAAATTCAACTTTTCTCGAAAATTGAGCCTGCGTCATCTAAACCGCTTTTTTTATATCTTCTCGAGACATAAAAGACACCCCAACCAACTCTGATAAATTTGGCTCACCGTGTACATATCAAACTAATTTAATCACACAAAACTTACTGTGTGACCTTGGAGGAAGCGGCGGCGCCTCCAAGCAGTCAGATTCTGGCCAGGAATTCCTCAACGGGGAGGTGCCGTCCGTGGGAGTCATCGACATGGCGTGCCTCAGAAGCCTGGGTGATGGCGGTTTCGTAAGGGATCTTTCTCTGGAATGGGTCGGTTTTGGTGGTAGCGGTATATCACAAGGATCAGAATCTCTGTAAACTTGTCCGATGTAGTATTTATTTAAAGTTACTTTTAGAATCACGTACCTCGATTTCATAGACGGCAAACTTGAACTGTTGTATTCCAATGGACCCCTGGTGGGGGTCCTTAAGTCGGAGTAACTGGTGGTGTTGAAGCCCTGAGAACGCGGTCTGGACTCTCTTTGAGGTATCGGAGGCGCGGCGTTAGTTATCGGCATCGGGAGTGTTAGGTTCTCTCTGCTAAGGATTGGTCGGTCGTTTTCCTGAAATTAGATGAAAATATGAGGTTAAACAATTCGTCAATGGTCATTATTTGAAACTTTTTTTTTTAGGAAGATTAGGCTGAAATGACTGATAAAATCTTTAGATCCTATTTTTGATCAAATTTAAATAGATATGGTAGCTTTAAAAAAATCAATTAACATTTTTGGGACAGAATTCATTGTTATTTTTAGGTATTTATTGTTAAGACAGGTCGAAATCTCAAAAACGGTTTGTTGTATCGATAAACAAATATCTCTTTTTTTTTTCCTTTAAAAAAGTACAAAAGTCTTAAAAATGAAGATAAAAATTTTAAAAGTGCACCCGTAAACGTTTTGGGGCTTGAGCCCCCAAAGTAGCTGTAGACAAACTGAAGTAGTTTAATAAAAACATACAATAGACATATAAGCTTTTACCCAAAAATTATCCAAATTTAACGAGAAATAAAAAAGTTCCAACAAACCAATCCGCACCCTTCTAAGTCGAGAAATAAAAAAGTTCCAATGAAAAATCAATTTTCAACACTCAACAACAAAAGCTAATAAATCTACAGAGTGAGCCCAAATAAAAAAGTAATTACATAACCTCCTAAATAACTTTTTAAAGGTAAGAAAATACTGATCTATCAAGGAAGGATGACATACAATTTAAAATTCAAGACAAATAAACGAGACACCCTACATAAAATTGAAATCCTTTATAAAATATTTACATTTCTCTGTTCAAACAAAGATGTGTGATATCATATCTTTTATCATCCACAACAAAGATAGACATGAACCATTTTTTATGCGGAGATAAATTTGGCGAGAAATATATTTCAGTCCTACAGGTGTTTCGTACAAGTAAACTTAGTATTAATAATGAAAATCTAGGTTATCAGTAAAGAGAAAGGTAAATACTTTTAAACAAAAAAAAAATCTAATAGGTATCTCCGATATCTCAGTTTTAAAATATAAAGAATGTAAGTTGTTTTATGTTTTGATTTTTTAATATTAAATTTCTCTGAAATAATCCAAAAATATACATACTGCATCAAAATTAACACACCACCAGAAATGTGATGCAATTTGAAAGTTGCTTTTCGTTCAGGTTTCAGTAATAACATTGCCATTAAAAAAAATAATAATAATAATTTCGATTCCAGCATATACAGGGTGATTTTTTTTCTCCGAGACTTGAAATACTGATTTGTTTATTGACTCGCACCATTATCTCTATTATTAACCGAGATGCACAGTTGAACTAAAGTACATCAGTTTATTGCAAAAATTTAATAACAGATCTTCATTACAGATTTCCCTGAGCATTTTTTCAATGTCAAAAAAATTTGGAGATTTGAGAACAATTTATTTATATTTCCACTTTTATTTTGTGAATTTTGCTATTTTTTTCACCATGGAAGTTGTATACGAGGACCTAAAAATCATCTTCTTAAAAATAATGCACTTTAATTTTACCAGCCGCCACTGTCAAGAAGTGAATACATTTCAGATAAATGTTTTAATAACGTTTTCATCGTTCTTCAGAAAGCTACTGGTTATAAATGTAAAAAAATATAAACACAAGGTCATCCTATCAAAGCGGACGTTTCATAGACAAGTAATCATGCTTTTAGTAAGACAATGATAGAACAAGAAAATCCATCAGAACTATAAAAATGTTGAAATACAAGGATTGCTTTAATTATTCGCAATGAAAGATCACGGAAAACATGAGCACCATGCACCTCTCTTGTTTTGTCGAGGATTTTGTAAAAAATATTCAATAATTGTGATTAATTCATGTGTTAATAGTTTCCTAAAAGCATTCTGCAGGGTGTGATTATGTTTATAGTACCGTACGAGATTTTCTGTATATCTACCAGGCGTGTAAATTTCAGGAAACGTAATGATAAACATAAAAGGTAAAAATATGCTTTTTTCCATATTCTGAATGCATTGTCAGCTTGTACACTGTCTTATACCCTAGAAAAACTTGTATAACTGGTGCATTGAAGAGATTTGTGTCTAACTTGCTTAGATTTTCTAACACCCTCGTCAAAAGATATAAAATATATAAACATTCAATGTAAATTTTGCATAAAAATGCCCCCTTAAAACAGTTCTTAGGAAGCAATTTTACAGAATACCAACAATATTCTTTATTGCTTTAAAAATTTACCTCCGTTTCGTGTTTTGTTAGTGACATTTGAAGATTAGGAAAATAAAAGCACAAATACTTACTGATATAATTAAATATAATATAACACAATACATGCAATTAAAATTTAAAATTAAATTGATAAAATGACTAGAAAAAACAAAATTCTTTGATCTACATCCAACCGCAATCATACAATAAGCTGTGCTACCAAACAAGTCAAATAAATATTTTGTTAGTAAAGCATAAAAATTAAAACAATTTGTTTAATAATTCATGCTAATTACTCAAGCGTGAGATTGTTAAAACGTGCAATTTTAAAGATTCGGTTAATTTTACACTTCATGCAATATAAATCTCTCCCATCTTTTATCAATAACGATCATCACCAAATGGCACTTTAAAAAAAATTATTATTCAGTCCAAGTAAAAAATGGAAGGATTTTTAGCCTCCGCGACACATTCCTGTGTCTCTTTATTAAACCTGAAAGTTACTTCGACTAAGGCGTTATTTTTTGAGGAAAGTCTAGAAAGCAGTAATTCTTTAAGTACCGTCGGTTTGGTGTAGATGTTGTCGTAGTCAGCCGAGTGGTGCTCGACGAGGTGGCCGTAGTTTCCGCTGGAACCCGAGGAACGGTTGCTGCCGTTTTCCATCATCAGACGCTTGTCGGTTGGCAGTGGCGGCAGAGGAGTACTGGTTGAGAAAGGAATACAAAATAACAAAAAAAAGAACGAAAAAATTATAAGAAATACCAAAGAAAATTAATTTACAAACACACTTACTTAACGATACTGTTGGCATTTTGGTTATTCAAAGTACCCAAGCTTTCTTTTAGTTGCACAAACCTCTCTAAAAGTCTTTGGTGTAAGGGTTGTACGCTTGGGGGTGCCAATTTTCCATGTAGGTACAGGCCTTCTTCTATTACCTTAATAAGAGAGAAATATTTTTAGTTTTCCGATTGTTTGAAAAACCAAACATAAAAATTAATTTCAATAAAATGACGATTTGTTTTATAATTATTAAATCTGAGGGTTGCTTTCAGTGTGCAGCAAAATAAAACTCTCTCTCAACGAAAAAAATAAAAGTATTTTTATTGAAAACAACGTTAGTGAAAGAGAATAAGTGTTGTCGAGGCGAGCGTTTGCTGAACGAGTCTTGGTATGGAGTCGCTCGCATGTATTAGTATCTGGTCCTTGATGCCAATCAGCCATGGACCTTTTCTGGAACCCTGGTGCATTCCGCATTGTTCTTTGTCCTTGCAACTGTTAGACTGGTCCGGGCAGCGTCAGGCTGGCGCTCTTGACGTAATACTTAAAATGGGTCACTTGCGAACATGTGTATCCACAAATCATATTACAGTAATCTTGGGAACCTTTCCTTAGTTTTTTTGTTTGTTTTCTTACACAACTGTGCCAAAAAAAAGAGTAGATTGGGAGAAGCCGATAAGGATACAGTTTATTTGTACCACTGTGTACACAAAAATACTGTTTGCCTGCTTAAAAATCCAATGCTTAGCGATAAAAATTTTTTAAGAATACTACAACGCATTCTCTTCCCTAAGTTTCACCAGTCGTCCAACAAAATAAACACATAAACCAGGTTTGCACTTAATGAAACCATATACACTTACCCTAGTAGCATTTATTATTAGCTCCTTCAAAGTCTCCGCGTAGACTTTATGTTCGGGATACAGTTTGGCGAACTCCTTGGTGAAAAACGCCTGCTGGTATTTGCTGATGCCCCCCTGGACGTTGGCGTCTATAATTCCCTGCAGCCTCATGGTGAACGGGTTCAAATTTCTCTTGGAATCGAGGGAATGGATGGTGATGAGTTGCCTCAGTTCGTTCTCCACGTTACGCATCGTTTCGCAGGCGAACTGCACGGGAGGAATCTCTTCCGTTTGACGGTTAACCACCTCGAACCACCTTAAGATGCCCGGCAGGGGGCTGGCTATTTCCATAAGCATCCTTTCGATCCATAAAGTCTAGTGATGGATTAAAGATCAAAATGTCTATACAGTACTGTACTATACAAAAAATTCAGATTACTTGTGTTTCTAAAGATTATATCCATATAAATACTACCATCATTCAAAGTTTTATCCTGTGTAGATAAAAAAAAACATCTATACCTAAGTCATTTAGTGCGTTTACAAGAAATAAATAGTTCGTATGAAACTTTGTCACGTTCAAAATCGAAGCTAAAACTGTTTTCTTTTAAGAATGAGAATATTTTACTACTTTGAATATCGTTGAATATTCTTTGTAATGTTTTTAAGGATGCGTAGCTTAAGTGAACAATTCTGTAACAGAGCTCTTGTCAGTTAATGTATACGCCCAGTTCAAGACTGCGCGCGCTGGCAAACGGCGCACAAACATAGCCGCACTGGGCAATGGGCCATAAATTTTATTTGTTGACAAATAGCCTATCAGTATATTGCAAATTTTCATATATTTATTTTATTTTACTGTTGATTATTTCTATTTAATAACTTTTCTAACCTAACTAACAACCTTTCCTCATCCTTTCCTGACAAGGATATGTTCATACCTTCCCGTTCGTTCTTGCCGAGCAGTAATATATTTTAATGAAAATGTAAATGTTTTTTGATATGTCATAATCAAAATTTGCCGTCAATAAAATTGTTTGAGGACATAAATTATATGTTACTCACCTTGATCTCATTATCTTTATCGATGATGCCTTTGTGTACTGGACGGTCGCACTGGAACCTTCTCACGTCGTTGTAATGGTAAAACCTAGATATTTTCTCGGGAATGTCATTGGCTAAAGTTATGGGATTCGGTTCCGGAATGGGCTTCACGTTGCATATTTGGATATCTAAAATCGGTCAAGAAAAAAGTGGAAGTACTCTAAAGACTAGCAAATCGACTATGAAAAAAGGATACATTGGCCGTCCGAATTGATAATGGTATCGTCCGGCGGAGTATTCTTCATAAGTATTTGAGCAGACGGAAATTCAGTTTGCAATCGTTGCGTAAAGGCACCGATTCTCTCGTATTCCAGGCCTCTATATACAAATTGTTTATTCTGTGGAATGGAATAAAAACGTTCAACATCGGGAGGAATTTATAATGTGTGATTAGTACTCACCCTTACAAATAATGGGAAACTTAAGCCGTAGAATCCGACACGAAAGTACTCTGGCTCTGGACGGAGTTGCGTTAAAATGTTATCGTAGAAGTTGGCCTGGTATTTTAAGATATCACTGAGGAGTTTGTAGTCAAAGAATATGGCTTCGTAGAGGTTCGCCAGCTCTTTGAGCAGCGGTATCCCCTTTTCCCAACACTAAAAGTAACGTAGTTAAGTAATATGCTGGAATTTGTGGCTAAATGGGAATTGAAGAAAACACAAAATTTTTTGAATGTCGAAGTTTCATCGCTTTATTGAGGCATCATTAGGGCATTTGATTATAAATATTTAATATCATTGTTTTTTTATATAAACTTTTTTATATTTTCATTTTTTTAAATTTTTTATTTAAGAATTTTAAGATGTCTCGACAAAAAGACAAAATGTCAACATTCAGAATACTAACCTGACACAACAACATTCAGAATACTAACCTGACACAAATTTTTCAAAAATCAAATAAATATATGCGTTATAATTCGATTTTTAAATTGCACTTAAATTTTTGGCTGCACCGTCACTGGGCAGCGCCAAATATTAAAAAATTTGTCAGTTTAAAAAAAATCTATATTTTTAGTCATGATTAACTAATATTGGAATGTGGATAGGCATATGTAACTAATTGCAAGAAAACTAATTAATGTTAAATAAAAATACTTATTAATTTGATAGATTTGAGATATTTTTAAAATCATTTTATCAAGTTTTTAATAAAAGTATTGACAATGACAGTTTAGGTGAACTATATAATATGAATCCACTTGATGTGATATGACAACGGGCTCTTATTATGTCTTTAGGTTGGTAACGCCAACTACAATATACTGGACTCTATCGCGTCGAAAACCAAAGTTAATATTTATCTGTACTGTATTTAATATTGGAACTACTTATGTCAATCGGAATCATGGAAACGAATGCATATTTGTCTGTATGCAGGAAAAGTAGTTCTAATGTACCAACCTCTACAGACTACGTTATCCGAAGCAGAGAAACGATAATTTGAAATGAAAAATTGATTGTATACAACTTTTCTGGTATAAAACAATGGCAAATAAAGGAAACTAAATATGTGTTAAATATTTTGGAAAAATAATAAATATAAGAAAATTATGATGGTGTAAAAGTGATGCTTTACCTTTCCCTTATCGAAATAGTCGATAATCTGCCTATATAACATCTCCTTAACCTGGCACTCAGTATGGTTGGGATAATTGGGATCCGTAACTTGATTACTGTTCCACGCCAACTGGTCGGCGTACAATTTCAGGGTAAAAGCTGCCTCGGTGTAATTCTCGGCGGATAAATGTAAATCGTGCAATTTGTAAATGTACCTCAAGTACATTTCCTTTCTATTAAATTCGTTCTTGTAAAAGTTCTAGAAGAGAAAATAGAAAATTTAAAAAAATTGTGTTTGAAAATTCGGATGTTATTACCAATAAATTAAAAGTGCAGGACATCCTTTTGTCTCGGTTTTCATCGCCTTGGATCACGTTGCGATAGTCGAGTAGTCTTTCTAACAAGCGAGTTATTGAGCTTATGAAAGCGGCGCCGCTTTCTTTCCAGGTTGGGTCTTCCGACTGGACTCTGTCTAATAAGCTACAAAATAAAATTTAACCTTGAAGATATAAAAAAAAATTCAGTCCAAAATATTAAAATCGTATGAGGCATAAGGACTTTCACCGATCGTAGAAAATTATTTGGAGGAAGAGAGACGGGACAAATTGAATTATTGTCCGAGATTAGAAATTCTTAACGTTTGCGATGTTTATAATCATTGCACAATTGAATTTATTAAAAAGCATTAATAATAAATGCCTACTACATATTCATAGAGTAGGCACTGTGACATGTGTATCATTAAAATTGAAGCATTAAAATAGGTGACAATTCTGAAAACGACGTAGACATACTGGAATAAGCTTCGAATGTACGAAGGTTCAGGTTTCTTTCGTGATAAATTGAGAGAATATTTTGAAATGAAGAAATTGACGCACCGGGAAAAATACAAATAATAACGAAAAATCTTTGTTAAATGTTAAACCAATTAATTAAAATGTCAAATTTATAGTTAACAAATAGTAAACAAAATTTAAAGCATTGAAAATAGACCTTGGAACGATCGCCTAAAATTAAGTCATAAAAATTGTAATTCTGAGCAATATTTTAAAAGAAAAAAAAATGAAATGAGAAATGATATAAAATTGATTCATTCAATAAATTATTATAGGCTACATAACCAGCAATTTTGTTTAAAACAGTAATTTTATTTACTTCCCATCAGTGGCGGCTCGGCACCGTTTCACCTAAAATTTCCATTTGGTTGTGCAATTTATTTTTAATTTTATATAAATTTTATAATTTTCGTATAATTCTATATTGAAAATGTATTGTGTTTGTTTGTTTAATATGCATAAATAAACATAATAGTTGTGTGGTGAACGTCTTCTAAAAAACATTGCCTTCGTTGAACGCAAACATTAACCTCGTACCATACAACGTATAAGCAAGTGACGCGGATCGAAATCAGTCTGTATTCCGCTTCTCTTCCTAGAATGGTTTACAGCGGCCAACACGGGAGTAAACTACGGTGTGGGGGGACGAGTGACGCAGCAATTGAAGCAGCAACGCCCATCGCCTGCGTTTAACAGTTTATATGATACGCGTCGCCCAGTGCACGGTTCTTTGTTAATATTTGTTTTGTATAATAATTGCAGAAATGTTTCCTATGTATGATACAGTATGTATTTTATTGGAAATGCCATTTTCCAGATGGAAAATTGAGGACAAAAAGGATTTTTTAAATTGCGAGAGACCTATGCCTTATTCTGTCGATATGGAAAAAAGGGGACGTCAAAAAACAATTTATACATTCGGAAGTTTCGAAGTGAATGGTATTCGGAGTATAAGAGTGGTTGTGTGGAAGTGTTTATTTAACTAAACTTTTTTGGTATGCCGTGTTTAATTGTGGATGTAAAGTCAGGGGTGTGGAATAAGGCAGGACTTAACAATCTGGGAACGTTACGTGAGGCTGTCATAACCACGAAGCTTCTTTGGAACATACATATATGGTGTGCGATAATGTTCGCAAAAGTCTACAAGCCGAACTAATATTTCTATTTTTTTATAAATTCTAAATGAAAATCCTTCTCGCAAACGTCAGTTTTCCGGCAATATTGCAAATGCAACTAACATGCAACATTTAGAGCTATTTGACCTTGAAAATTTTCGCCTGCGCCGCTTTTTTTTCTTTTTAGTCAATCAATAAATATGCTTTACTTATTCTCAATGTCACGAACCACCACTGCTTCACATTGGCAATTAAATTTCCATAAAATTAAATTTTTTGAAAAACAATATCAAGATTACATTTAAACACAACATTCTATTTTACCAGCTGGTGATTGGTGTAATTTTTCATGAGATTATTTTTAATCAATCGGCGATCGCATAATCTCGAGCATGACGTAACAGTTTGTCATTGTTCATTGTAAACGAATCATTAATACTGGTGACGCCAAGATTTAGGGATATTTCGTTACCAGTACCACCCCTGCAATGTTGGTTGCCTAATCTCGGTAATTCATGTAACTTGTAATCATTTATGAAGGCTCGACCTTATAGAACAATAATTATATGGAAATGAACTTTTCTAATTGTGGTGAAATATAATCTAGAAAGTATTTAAACATCACATTTCCATTTTTTCCTAATGTCTACAGTCACAAAGTATTGTTTTGCACATACTGGCAGAGAGTGACCTACTAATCTGTAGGTAATATAAAAGTATAATCTGTGTCGCACTAGACATAACAAATTTTTAAACTAATGAACTTGTGGTAAACAATTGCTCTGCTGATTGAAGCCCTGTTCAGCATTGAATTACACCAGCAGTATCCAGAAAACCAATGCACAGGGCTTTAGTCTGCAGAGTAGTTGTTTCCTACAATATTATTAGTTAAGAACTGTCTCAATTTTGGAAAATACTTACACAGCACTAAGATGTTCCCTTTGGAAGCAAGAAACAAACAATTTTATTTTATTACACTCAATCGATTCAATTTTATTAATAAAACACTTAAAACGGAAAAAATTATTATAAAAAATGATGTACTTACATCGTATTGAATAATCTTCTGTACTCGTCATCACCCTTGTTCTCCGATATTAAAATGTCTAACTTGTCGATAAGCTCACACTCGACTTGCTTGAAATTCCCTCTCGCCCTCTGCTCGCATTCCATCATGTCAAAAAATATGTGCAACGTAGCCTTTCTCAGTTCGATCTCGGGAACTAAAGTAACCTCGAGGAAAGGACCGACCATCGACGGAATGAAATTCAACTTGCATTCACCTAAAATAATATTTGTCAACAGTATAACATCAACTTCATCACAAATTTTTCCTACCCAGTTGCGACCACATAGACAAAATTTGAAAACCCATCAGAACTCTCATATCACCGTATTTCTCAATTATTTTCTCCCGTTTCACGTCAGAAAACTGTTCTAGCTGCAAAGATTCTTGTGTCAAATAGTCCACCGACAAATTAAAATAATTCGTCCAAAGCTAAAATAAATAAAAATTAGTACGAGAAGAGAAAAACAGTACCGACTCACTTCTTTATCGAAATATCCTGCGCGGCTGTCTAAAAACTTAAAAGCGAGTGGTTGAGCAAATTCCTGTAGAGCCTTTAGGATAACGTTGTTTGTTAGCATTTTTATAACGAGCCAGTCCGGCGGGAATACTTCCATCCTAACCAAGTTACGGAACACCAAGAAGGCCCTAAGTAGGAAATCCTTCAGGGGTTTCCTGTCCTGGTGCGGTCCCATCAGAACTTCCCACAGTCTCTTGTAGTGAAATTCGTCAAGTAGTTGTAATATCCCAATCAGACAAGCTACCAAACAACCCTAAAATAAAACCAGTGACGCAAATAAACACGAACTATGAGAATGTTATCGCTTACAAAAACTTTGACGTCTTTATCGATGATAGTAAGAATTGTCTGTATCAACACTTCTAAGATGGAGACGCACAAAGTGTCAACGTCGTGGTGGATACAGTTGTTTATTTTTCCCTGTTCGTCGGTCAGTTTCCTTTGTTTAAAAAGAAACAATAGAATTTCTCCTAATATATCTGTACAGAGCTTCAATTCATCCCGTCGTGTCAAATGGTACCTCAAGTGTTTACAAGCTGTGACTAACAGTATATTCCTCGATTCTAAAAAAAATGCATGAAACTTTACGTTTCACCAAAACAAAATTTCGTTTACCATCGTCTTGAAACAGTTTACTGGTCACCATATTTTTTATGCAAGATAGCTTTGCCTGTACTAATAAAGACGGTAATTCCCTGGGCAATGAATCCAGCATCGATGCTGCCAGTTTGGTAACTTCGATTGTCGGTAGGACTTCGATCAACTGATCGTAAACAGCGCTTATGGTTAAAAGTAAAGCAACCTAGAATTTAAACATGTGTTATCATGAGAAAACCAACCATAAACCCTCTAAAAATAGTGAATTGAATGACCTTTGAGTGCCTACGGTTCACCTTAGTAAGATTTTAAAATAGGCAGATTCATTGTTTAAACAATGATCTTGTTGTTTTAAACGGATACTTTTTGGGAAATATTATTTCTTTTAGCCTAAACTAACGACTAAACCAAGTTTCAATCTGAAACGAATTTTTTTACAATTTTTTTTTCATTTACTGGGCTATTTGTGATATTACTTTAAAGTAAAAATATTTTAAAAGAATTTTTTAAAAATTAATAAATTTGTAGTTTTATAAAACGTACATAATTAGAAACAAATAAAAACCTGATACGATTTGAAATATTTTTCAAATCATTTCAAGTTCTTCATAAAAGTGTTTGTTACTTTTAAAAGCACTATTTAGTTTGTGATTCTTAATATCAATGGCTTCCAATACTAACCTAATTTAGGTAAACTGCATAATACCAATACACCTGATGTGATATGACAACAGGGCTCTAATGTGGCAAAAAACCAACAGCCAACGTAAAATCGGCAAAAACAAAGTACGGCTGAATACGTTACCCCTCCATTTTGTTATTTTTATTATAGTGTCCAGTTTATTGGTTTATGAGGAGTTTGTAATACTTTAGTTTGTATAGTGCGGTATTTTGTTTTATTAAATTTATAAGTGTATAATGTGTATAATATGTCTTTATTTATAGTCATTTATTTCAATGTTTAGTAATGGTAACGTGTGTTTGTGTGTCTTCATTGTTAAATTTATGTGTGGCATTATGAGAAAACATGTACACACATCTGAAAAGATGGGATTTGACAGTGCATGTCATAGCTCCCAATTGCAAAAGTATATAATTTATTAATAGTCCTGGCCTCCTTTTATTTTAATGGTTGTATTTACTATCACGGGACGTGTACATGCAAATTTACTATGAAACTATATTAGTATTTTTCACGGTTGTTCCCATTTTTTAAAGAATGGCACAATTTATAAAAATAATGAGCATGAGACATGCCTTTAATTTACAGGGAGTGTCGACAGAGTTCACTCACAGCATCTCACTTATATTGGATTTAAATTTCTATCCACCAAGATGTTTAAAGTAATGCTTTGTCCCAGTAGGCATCGACTATCTGTGACAATTGTGATATAATATAATTTGTAGGTTACGTTTCACCAACACTCTAGATATGACACCGTTTTACCATATATTAGGTCATTCACCTCTCAATAATTTTTAGATATACTTAAGAGCTACACCTACTTGGGTATTGATGATGTTGCTTTCATGAATAGTAAGCATTTTATTTAAAGAAACAAACACACTGAACAAGTCCCGTCTGAAGCTATCTTCGAAGTGGCCGCCCGTAGCCCTCGAGAACAGCAAACGGCTTTGAATGATGAGCTTAAAAATGTACTCCAGGCTTTTGAAACATTTCTGGATAGGTTCTTGTTTGTCGAAAGACACCACCCAGTCGGCGCAGTGCTGAACGCTGGTAAGCAGACCCCTAGAAGCGGGGTTAATTAATGTTTCAAAGATTACACAGACGTAGACTTACTTATATACAAGCGCCGCTGCAAAATGGTTTTTGATGTACGCGTCCAGCACTGGTTTAAAGTGTTGGTATTTTGAGCCGTCGAGTAAGTTGAATATCGAGACTAGTACGTGGAAAACTAGACCACTATGTGCTGTGGAGTTACCGTCCTCTGTTGAGAATAGTGCAAATAAGGCATCGAGGACGTCTTGAAGGAACTTTACCAGTTCTTCGTCTCCGAGTCGCAGAACTCTCTGTAGTGATTCCTGGATCCGTTCTGGGTGCGATTTCCACCTCAGAAGAGCAAGCAAGTCAACTATATAAAAAAATTGTATTAAAAGAATTACGTATATTCAAATTGTAAAATTAAAAAACAAATTTTTCTTTGTTTTTACATTTACAGTGGCCTCCTTATCTGCCTGATCCGAATCAACTTAGTCATTGACATTTTTGCTTTAATTTTCATACAAATTTGTGTATTTATAAATTATTTTTTTCAAATTACACAATAATTTGAACTAGAAAAAATTTTTACTAAGTAAATGATGACCAACACAAATTCAAATCATTATCCGGCTTTAAAATTTGTGAATACGTTTATTTTGGAGTTATTTTATATTTATCTTTGTTATAATGTTTATATTGGCCGGCTTGACTTCCAGATGTAGATTAACTCAATCATAAATATTTTTGATTCAATTTTCAATTAAATTCGTGTAATTATAAATGAATTTATCCAACTTACAACATAATTTGTACTAAAATAAATTCAAGGATTATCAATTGAAATTCTAATCAATTGGCTTTCAATTTGTAAATTAATATCACTGTTTTGGAGCTAGTTTATATTTTTCTTTGTTATCACAATTACATTGGCCGCCTTGACTTCCTGATCTAAAACAACTCAATCATTGATATTTTTACTTCTACTTTCAAACAAATTTGTGCAATTTGAACTAATTTTTGCAAATTATATGTTAATTTGAATTAGAAAAATATTTTACTAAACAAATGTTATTTAAACCAATTTAGTTGGTATTAAAATTTGCGAATTGGTAATAAACATCACTGTCTTCGAGATATTTTATATTATTTCCTAAAATTTATAGATATTTACCATTTTGTGTGAGTTTTGTTGAGCACAGCAGGGTTTTTATGGAAATAATTTCTTTGTGACTCCTGGAAAACTGTCCGCTAGCCTCGTGGTTTCCCTCGTAATCCTTAGCAAACGCCGGCAGCGACAAATAACCGCAATTTTCCAATTTTTGAGTATCCTCGCACTTGTATATGTAAAGTTCGTGTTGCCCGTCTTGTACAGCTGCCCCGTCTTTGTCCATGAGGCGAATAAACGAGAATCCGAACAGTTTCTTATCATTTTTCTCTCTAGCTATAATGGAGAAATAATATAAAGGTTTCGAAAGGTGCAAATGTTAATCGGACTTACTGGAACAATGCCTATATTCCAATCGTACATGAGCGCCAGCAAATTTATCGATGGGTAAGGTTAACCTTACGTTTTCTGCCCATGCCGGCGAATTGTGGTGGTAAATTATCATGGAATTGTACTCGGAAGTACCTTCCATTCCCGATGCACCCCACAAACAGTTCTTTGGAAAAAATAATGATACAATTGCCATTAAAAATCTATTAACTTACCTTTATAATATTTTTCTCACTGTCCAAGACTACTATAGTGACCTCTATATTCTTTCCTGTGGATTTTCCACCTCTCTCGAACTCACCCTTGTCTAAGTTCAAGTATAAGTCATTTCTTACATCGCCTGGCATTATTACATCGGGGAAACCTAATTTGCTCGTTAAACAAACGTTTTTGAAGAGTAAAGGGTTTTCTTCTTTGATAATTCTCAATTCGCCATGCAACATTTTAACAGAAATCATTACGCCATAGTTCATATGGCTGGATAACGAGCTATATTTGCCAGATTGTCGTATAATGAACTCGTGGAGCTGGTGAAAATCTTTCTCCTCGGCTTGGTACACCTGTAAGAATAAAAGATAAAGAGGTATTGTCAAATACCGTAATAAATCTTTACTTACCTTCATACCAAATTCTTTTTCTTCGGTGTCACCCTCCTTACTAGTTAAATAATCTCCTAAGTTTTGCACAGCTACCCCATGAGGCCTTTTGAAGACCTGTTGTTGAGCAACAGCCTTCTCAGTCTTTTTTGAACTATCCGAATACAGCATCTTGCCGATTCGCATTACGTGAGCAACTACATATATATCTTTATTTAGGTCCGCATTTCCCAAATCCTACAAATCAAATGTAATTATGGAAATAATTCCAGCGAAAATTATTTTACCGTAAACACAGTACAATTGCTATGCAGCTTCTCGATGTAATTCGAGAAGCCCTCTTTGGAAATTTTGACTAGGAATCTTTCGGTAATGAATTTTTGCTTGCCCGCGTCGTACAGGGAGAAATAAATTTCTGTGTCTTCTCCGACGTGGTGGCCGAAATCTCGCATGCAGAAGTATAAGTGGTGGGTTAAGGTTTTTTTCTGTTCTTTCTTCTTGATTGTCCCTCTTGCCTAAAGGAGAGATTCGATAAATGAAACATGTACAATCGATGTACTGAAATCTATTCTTACTGAAACTCCTTGGGTGTTTTCAGCACTAGCTACATGCACGTGGTATAATTCTACAACTGACATGGAATCGGGTTCTACCATCTGAGCACCTTGGCGCGGTACTAAATCCAGACCAAGTTTTCTAAAATTAAAAAAAAATAAATGTATACAAATTATTATTAATGAAATTAAACCTTTTTTGTTATAAAAAGCTAAACATATCAAAGTTTTCTAAAGGATTTACAACAGAGCCATTTTCATTATCACTCATTTTTCTAACTCTTTTTTTATTAATTTTGTAATAATTACATAAGTGAGTTATATAATATGTATAAGAACAAGAAAAATATGTTAATATAGGATGTAACTAAAACGCTTAACCAAACATATTATGATGGATTCTGTCATAATTAGGTAAAAAAAAAACTTTATCCACGACTATTGTATAATGTACCCATTATACGTCTGTTTGCTCGACCTTATTAATACCCATTAATCACGGCAGTGATTAATGAGTCATTAATCACTACTGTCAGATGCTTCCTTGATTTAGCTATAATATTATATTGTTCTGCTACAAACAGTCGGTTTTTTAAATTTTATCGTGTAAACCACTAAATATTTTCAATTCAGTGCTGTACATATAAAAAAAAAATTAAAAAAGTGAATTTTCCTAGACCAGATTCGAACCCGGGACCAGCGGTTGGAAGGGAAGGAGCATCTACACTGAGCCATCAGCGACTTCGTTTGTGCGTGTCGTATATCTGTTGCTTAACATACCATGTTTTTCGAAACATTTCATAAATCTAAGTAGCTTTTAAAACAAAACAAATTTGACTCAAACCTGTCAACATTATTGTTTGTGTGCATAGATTTCTGTGTTTTGATATATTGTGTTAAATTGTGTTAAAAAACGAACTAAAAACAAAAAAAACTTCAACAAAAATATTTAGTAGTCTTGGATAAAGTATAGTATTCTACTCCCGTATAATGGCTATTATCCACTCGGTGATTTAGGCCACTCGCCTGCGGCTCGTGGCCGTAAACCTCACCACGTGAATAATACCCATCATTATACGCTCGTTGAATAATATACTATTAAATATGTAACTAATAACACTCACTTCTTTTTCGAGATATAAATTATTCAAAACTGATAAAAAAGTTATGCTTTATATTAAATTGCAAAAAAATAGCTGGAGGTAATAGTACTTTATTTCATCAGTTGATACAGCAGTTAAAATTTTAATAAAAGACTGTTACATTTCTGTTAAGTATTCTGTTTATACTTTTACAACTACTAAAGGAAGGTCTGAAAAAGTATTTTTCCAATCATTTGAATTTAAGCATTTTAACGCGATTTCATTCTAATTATTAGCTACCTACTTCTGATGGTAATAATTATTGCAATAGTTTGGTCATAGTAAATACCAAAATAAAACATGTTATACTAAAACTAGAACTCAGAACTAAAAATCAAAAAGGGCAGTTCGAAAATGATTTAAAAATACACTTCTGCACGGCACTGGAAACTGGTCCACTGTAAAACCTGACCTCGTGCAATGCGACCGGCATGGCGGCATGGCGGCAAAGTGTGATAAAAACGGACAAAAACTTTCGCAAGGAAAGAAAGAAATAGAATTTTATAGCATCTATTTTATATCAGTAAACTCAACTGCTTTTGCCGTTATTGTTATTATTAATTAATAAAATTAATTTGTGGTTTTAAATAATAAAATAATTTGACATACATACAATAACTGTTCAAAATTTTTTCCACCGACGTGTAAACACATTTGGGTGTGTCTCTAAGAACTAACACAAATGTTGTCTTGCTTCACCATAACACAAGTGCTTCACCATAATACAAAATTTTATTTTGCTTCACCATAAATTAAAACGATATCCATCAACTCCGAATTGCTATACACGTAAGCTATTTTTGACACTAACTATTAAAAAACTATTGTAAACACCACAGATAACAGCTAAACACTAACGCAACGAGGATTGCACAATCGGATTTCAGTATTCGGAGTCGCCGAGGCCACGTGGCTCTCCACGCGTATTGCGAATGACACTAGAGACTACAGTTGTCCAGCTATGTAATGATTGAATGTACTACAACGCGTTTGACCTCTATTTTACAGTTAACAAATTAGTGAAAAATGACACTAGATACCTTAAATTGTAGATAACTTAATTGACTACAACACAAAATAACTAATTTTCCAATAGGTCATCTAAATTTTCGTGGGCAATAAAAAAAGTGAAAAGACTTGTAAATTTGACACTTATTTGCAATTTTATAAAAAATTATAATATAGTCAAAAAAGACGACGCATAAGTGTTTTTTAAAAAAACAAAAATTTTAAATATAATAATTGAACTATTTAAGGTTTATTAATAATAACAGTAACTTTATGGCTATTTTCAAGAGCAACGCAAAACGATTATTAAAAAGCAACAAAAAAAATTATATATGTAATTTAAATATTCCTTTTCCATAAAACAACTGACACTAGTTGATTGCAATAAAATATAGTTAGTAACTGTATTTGAAGATCGTATTCGTTTTCCATATTTTTTAATTTAAATATGGCAATTTAATTGTTGAAATTTACGTCGAAATTCCACATACCTAAACCATCATTTTCAATAACCTTTTTAAGTACCAAATCGTCACCTTTTGGCAATATAAATATTAAAAATACCTAAGTTTGTTTCTGATTTATAATACATAATGAACTATTGTTATTTATAACTTCCTGTAAACTTTCAAATATTGAAAGTACATCGACTTTTACTGCATTGATATGCTCAGTTTAATCTAAAGTACTCACAAAAATTAAAGGATAAATAAAAATTTCTTTTAGGTTATTTTCAAAAGGCTGCAATTTGAAGAAAAATAGTCGTAGAGCAAAAAAACCCAAATTGAGGCTTCTAGTTTCAGGTCATTTTTTTTATAGTTGACCACCGGTCTTTGTAAGAAATCCAGTGGATTTTTTTGTAATTTTTGCTTCCTTTTCAGAAGATTCGCCGGCTTCAATATTTTTTTTGGCAATCTCACCTGTCAGCTCGCTTAATTTGATTCATCCTCTTTATTTTGAGCTGTTCATGAGCTTTTTGCCAAGATTTATCGCCGAATTATCATCGTTCAAAGCAAAAATGACCTTTTTGGTTTCGATAATTAGTCGGAAACTAATGATTGTACAGAAAATCTAAGAATGGTTTTGAAAACGTCAGAGGTTCTTATGGTTTTACGAAAAAAAATATTTTTTTCGATGCAAGGAACTAGATTAAAAAAAAGGGGGAAAATTGTATATTTCAGGATTTTCGCTAAACCTGATATAACTTTATAAATAATGAATAGACTCCGGATATTTACGGTTTCTTTTAACCTCAAAACATCCCAAAGAAACCCTTAAGAGTTCAAACCGCTGCGATTTTTCTGTCATTGTCATCGGAATGACTGAAATCACTTTTCCTAAAAAATAGAACGCATGATTTTTTTTAAATAAAACTTCATAGTTTTTTCTTCTCTACGGGCATATAAATTTCTTGATCGGAGTTCAGGGAAAACATCCCGAAGATATATCCCACGTAAACGTTATGCACTCGACCAGTCAGTATGCAGCAGCCAGTCGAGCTCTTGGTCGAACTCCTGTTAAGTTGTGACCTTGGACAGGTGTCGTCGACCCCAGGGTCTTGCGAATCGTTTAGAGTGAAATCTAGTAGCAGCGGCTCCCATCTCGGCTTGCACGTAGATACAGCCGGTGGTGGAGTCGCCCGGCATGGCTAGACTTCAACGACAGCGCAGAACGGGAAACTAGCGATGGGGAAGAACTCGCGCTTGTCGATCGGTATATTTTATTTAAATTTCCCAAACTTGTTCTCCAATGTGCTAAGGCAGTATCTCTACATAGTAGAATATCATTACGTTATACACGATGTAGGTAATGACGACTTTTTGATTTTATAAAATCAACATACAAAAAAATAAAAAAAGGTGGTAGGTAAACAATTACGTATTTTAAATTTATTGAATTCTTATAAAAACCAAACACTGCTTGTTTTACGTTGAAATATTACAGTATGCTGTGAAATATTTACTGAGAAATAGAGGTTTTACCAGTTGAAACGGTACTTTTACAACATTCTGGGAAACGAATACATCATAAAAGCGTATAGTTGCATATTATCGATCGTTTATCGACTTCAGCACCTTTTCCGTACATACAGGGTAATTCAGACATAATGTCATTAATTTTAATCACGTTTTCGGAAGGCCTAATAAAGAGAGAAATTCGAAAAAAAAAATTTCTCGACCTTTTAAAAAATATTAAAATTATTTCTCAATTCCCGTTAATTCCACGCCCTACTTTGCTTCATATTTGTTAACTGGGAACACGCCGGCGCACCACAGAGCGTTCGAACATTGAAGAGAAACAGCTGATTTTCCCAGTCGTCAAAGTGCAATGTACACTGAAAGAAATGGGCTTATTAAACTGTTTATCTAGAATAATGTGTATAGCGCATATTAAAACTTTTATAACCAATATACAACTTTTATTAAAAAAAAGCAATCATCTCCATACTCATTATTCAATCAGTTTAACTGGAAGGTGCTTAATACACCTTATGCATCTATGAAATAAAGGTTATAATGAATTACTTATACATTATTAGGTGTTATAGACTTTATATTCCAGTTGTATAGTAGGGAAGATTTGTTGTATAAAGACCAGTATCCGAATTTGTATATAACAATTGTATTAACAGAATTATTCGTTCTTATACTGAATATGTTTCCGTTGTTAACGTGTAAAACGCATCTTATAATGGTTAAGTGATCGTCACCTCTCGGTGCATAATCGGTTATGATCGTGGTTAAGTTATATTCATAGTATTGTAATAATAATCATATGTCAGACCCGAGAACGAAGTGCGCCGACTCAATAAGAAACCTGGCTATTCCAGTCGCTGATTTAGGGTTCGCCGCACGAGCTCATCCCTTCTAAAATTACAGTAGCATGCTATGCATGAAGCAGAACGGTACTCAACTATCTTATACAGTCCATTTTTATTGTCCATACATGTTCAATCATTGTCAAAATCAACACACAAAACCACAACGTCTTT